AAGGATACTGTGGTCCCCAAGATGGAGCTAAACTCCACACAAAAGCGAATTGACGACGATCGCTGTTTAAACTAAGGAATTCCTTCGTTATTGCTTCTTTCCGACCGGATATTTCAATTTCATAGAGCACATTCTTGTAGAAATAGGAAAATGGGGAACGGCATCCCGACGCCGGATTGCGATTCCTGGGCATCAAATCCATGTTGTCCAAAAGAAAAAACAGGAACTGGGAGCAAATGAAGGTTAAAAGTGGAGTAATCTTTGCAATCCAAAAAAGCCCTTGATTTCCTGCTTTTCAATCGTAATTTACGAAAGGTACCATGAAACAGCGAAGGTATGGCTGACGTATGTATTCCTGCGGACGACCACCCTCGGACGGTTCTTCGCGTGCCGAATATATATCCTCAGCACGCCGTTCAGGAATTCAAACTTCAGTTGAAGGAATATCTGCATGAGACATTCAAGAGTTTTTTTCAGCACGTTTCGCTGAATAAACAATCGGAGATTACAGTTGATCCGTACGAAGATTGAGATTAGATGATAAATGTCTATGGTCTTTCTACGTATATTGTACTAGACGGTGCATACTGTTGACTATTAAATTGCCGACGAATGATGTGCAACTGACTAGAACTCTGAGATGTTATTCCAGCGTTCTATGTTGCCAGCATCATGCCAACGGGGTCTATGGCGTTTTCATTTTGCACGCAGGGGAACTTCTATATGGACATCCCAGAACAGTTATTAATTCACCGCCGCTTACTTTTAGGGTTTTGAACTAAGGGGCTGATTACTTCCACGCCATCTCCCAATGCCATCATTGAGTAACTTAATAGATAGCGCATGTTTTTGTGGAGGCATTTCAGGCTAACATTTGTGTAGGAAGGCAATATACAATTAAAATGCACTTAACCTAATCTGAACTGTGATATTGATTTAGAAAAACATGTTCTTATAATTAGTGCTGTACTGCTTTTCTCTAGAAGTCTTCCTGGAATCTATGCCGCTAAATCATTGCAGTTGAAGTTGCTCAGTAAAAGCCGGCGCTGAGAGAGGGTAGCGCCAACTGGGATGGCGTGGAAAAGGAATTCAAGAGTTGAGTGGCTCTGGGTAGAAGTTGTGCTGGAAGGTAGTCAGGCGGGTGAGGTTGAGCGGCTGTCCGGTCGTGAGTTGTGTGCAGGTCATTCATGCAATATTTCACTGTCTGAATTACCGTGCTTACGGATAGGGTGGATGACGTGAGTTGACGCTCATTTAATGTCATTCGGATGAAATTCATGGCGTACCGTAGGGGTTTGGCGAGATTTTGTGAATTATCACATATTTTCATGTGTGAATTATGGACGAATCAAACTTCGTATTTTCGCGAGTTGTGCATAAGTCGACTTGCTGATTTCGAGAAAAAATGCTATGATGTGCTGTTCTTGGTGGAAGTGTTCATTGAAAATCTGTTCGTTTTCGTTACAGGGGTGTGCCTGAATTTTGTTTCTTTACTACGGACACATTCCGCCGTAAAGATGCCGAAGCCAAATTCTGGCCTTACGAAGGAGGAGGAAATCCTTCTGACTGACTTCGGCCGTAATGTTACTGCGAAGTACAGCGCGATTTTCTATACAAATGCGTTTCTTGTATCCGTTATTCCCATTTGTGAGTATTGCAAGGTTGTTTCATCCATTACGAAGCTATTCTTAAGTGTCATCCTTGCAGGGTTGTTCTGGCGTGTGCATTTGATGGAGCCGCTGGATTCCGCAATAGTGTTCGTTGTTGGATCTTTGATCAGTACGTATCTCGTGGCGTTCGCCTACAAGAACACGAAGTTTCTACTGAAGCATAAAGTTGCGTCTAAGAGGGAAGATGCGGTGACCAAAGAAATGTCCAAGAAACTGTCAGAGGATAAGAAGATGCCTAAGAATGAGAAGGACCACCGGTAAATAGTTTTCATTCTTTTTTTTTTTTGCACACAGGAATTTCACCTCGTTCACGTCCATCTCAGCTTGGTGTTCAGAACGTGTGCTAGAATATCTTCCCGCTGCGCACGTTGATCGCGACGTGTGTTCGTGATTTTTTAATCGTGTTGTGTCGGGTACAGAGAATAATTATTTTAGAATCCTATAGCCATGCACATTAACGCCTTGCTCTTGTCGAGCCATTCATACGAATGAAGGAATTATTCATTCCATCTTGTTCAGCGTTTTTATAATCAATCTTGTGTTACAGTGTTTTGTGGAAGATCAATGAAGTTGCCGATTATGAAGCGACTACCTTCGCCATCTTCTTCAACAACGCGATCTTCGTTGCAGTCTTGATCATCGCTTCCACCTACGTTCTGCGTTCTTTTTCTCCTTCTGTGTAAGTACATTTGCTGTGTTCCTAGGATGGATTTTCGTTGAGAATGATCTGATTTTGCAGGAATTACCTATTGTCGATGGGGGTTGCCAGCGGCCTGATAGCCTTGCTTTCAACTGGATCGAAGTAAAGCAAACAAACAGGAATTCGTTTTGCCGGCCGGCTCAGATATATTCATTTTATTTTTGGTTGTTCTTTGTGTCTGTGTCTACTTGTTGATGGAGGAATAAGCAGGAGTGGATGAGAACCGAGACCTAGATCTGTGTTGATTATTTATGAATTCTCAAAATTTTTGGCTCCCTTGCTATTTCTGCTGGTGATTTTTCTTTTTCTGGTTTTAGATGCCGCGAGCTAAGAAAATGAAGCCTGACCCTTCTCTAAGGCTTGAATGGAACGAAGAATTAACGGCCACCGGATTTGCTGGTTGTCCGACGTGTTCCGTCATCTTCAGTGAATTTAAATCTCTCAATGATCACTATGGGGTATGCCAGGGTAACCCGGATCCAGAATCTTTCACCAAATGTCCTCATTGCGAAATTCTCTTGGACGTCGGAGCCACGTTTCAGCAGCACTTGGAGAAATACCACGAAGCTTTATGCAATTTTGACAAAGAATCTTACATCAAGGCCCTCAAAGGAACCAAATCTATTTCGTGCTTCAAGTGTGGTGCCTGTTTTACAGCTTTTGCTCAGTTCAATCGGCACGCATTATCCGTTCATAATGGACTGGTTAGAGCTACAGGATACTCGCAACACTTCAGTTCTCAAGAAACCCGTGAGGCATTGAAAGAAACTCTCTCTGTGTCCAAGAGACTCATTTGTCCATTGTGTCGTAAGAAGCTTCAAAGCGTAGGTGCATGGTCGTACCACGAAAAAAACTGCCCCTTGATTTACTTCGAAGAAGCGTTACAGTCGCAGCGATGTCCCGAGTGCTTGACCAGTTATCAAGATATCGATATGCATTTGAAATATGTGCATGACGTCACGATTAAAGATGAATCTGATGATTCTGAGCCCATGGACACTACAGAAAATCAACCATTAAAGGATGAAGATCAACAGAATGTCAAGAAGCATCCGCAGTTCAAGGAATGGACGAAAGCGTTGAAGAATGTTGGAAAAATCGACTGTTGTAATCTCTCATGTAATTATTCTTCAGATTCCGTTGGCGATTTTTATCTGCACAAGAAGAACTGCCTTCCTAATAAGGTTTTGTCGATGAGGGCTTTCAAATGTGCATTTTGCGAGTATGTTGCACCTGATTTCAAATGCATGCACGAGCATTCCAAGAATCACAAATCAATTTCACGAAAAAAGTCTTCCAAGGAAGTAAATGCAACAGTTCAGACTGGTGAGATTCTCGTTTTGAATTAAACATTTTTTGGCATATGTTCAGCACATTAATATTACGAAATGTTTAGATCAAATACCTTGTTCGAAGAATGAAGATGAAATCACCGTGACGGACTCCTGGCTTGAAAACTTGCAACCAGCCAACGACTGGAGGAACCTCAGAAGTCGATGTCCAACGAATCACCTCGAAATTCCACCCAATCTTCTCGAGCCTTTGGACTCAAAAGCCTTGCAACCTTACCTACCGGTTACGAAAAAATCCATGCAGTTTTGCACATTGAAAAGCAAGAGCGAGAATTTCCCGGAAGGCAAAGCTTTGGTGAAATTGACAGCAGAAATTCCTCTGAAGCAGTTGAAGAGATTCGAGGGATTCTTGGACGAGAATGCGAATCATGTTTTCTTTGCTGGAGGCCCGGTCCAGGCTATGGATTGGTGTCCTCTGCCCGATATTGATTTCGAGTCATCGGCTGGTGTGTGACTGATACCATTTTCATTTACTCAGTTTTGGATTGTGAAGATCAAGCGTTTGTTGACGAGATTTTGTTCCAAGTACTGCACACCAGAATGTCTTGTACTGCTTTTTTTTTTATTGGTAAAAATATCTTCGCGAAATGCGATCCATAATCTCAACTATTTTACCTACATTAATATTTCCGCAAATGTGATAATTCGTTTTAATTCCAAGAATGCCACTATCGAGTCATTTAATTTTATAAGATTCCTCGTTTTTACGAATCTGCCAATAAAATTCCTTCTATCTACTGTAGTATTAACCACCGTAGGATCAATTCTGACGCCGAAAAGACTATTACAGTATGGTATTTTGGTTCTGATTTAATGAGAAAGATCTTCCAAGCACCTTTTCTCAAAATTCAAAAGGTTGTGCGCTACAATTTGACTTGAGTTGAGTATGAGTCCAAAAATGACTCATTTTTTACGGAAATCATAACCCATAATCGGTGTGGGTGATCGGCAGAAATTTTTAAAACAGCCGGCGTTTTGTTAGCTTTGTTGTGACGAGATGAGAATCTCATTGCAACAAATGAGGTTACTGTACAACAAATTATTGGAAATAATAAACTATGAAGTCATTTTTCAGGTCCCTGACCAATAACAGCTGTGTTATTAAAATCTCTTTGTAATGAATTTATCGTTATAACGAAGCTTTTTTCACCCGGTCCCAACAGCTCCGTTGTGATGAGATTTTACTCTTCTGAATGTTTGCGGTAAATGCCGTATTTTTTTTTCTGCAGAGAATGGTGAAGAAGCCTTGAAAACGAAGCAATTCTTGGCTGTGGCAAGTTTGAGAGGGATGGAAGAAGATCTGGAACTCGGACCTTCGCCGTCGGAAAAAGCCCTGGTTCAACTGTGGGAAATCGATTCCCTAGGTGCTAAAGCCCCGTTGTTACGTTTAGGCATATGTGTAGATCATGGTCCAATTTGGGACCTTAAGTGGATGCCTACTGGAGGGTTCTCTGATACAACCCTAGGTCTGATTGCGGTGTCTTGTAACGATGGCTGCGTCCGCGTGTGGAAATTGCCTCGTAGTGCGGTTCGACAGAAAGATTCAACGGATTTCGTTTCCATCGGGTCCTACGTGACATTGAGGTTGACTCACGCAGCGTCTGTAGATGCGATGACTGGGAAATCGTATGCTGGGAAAGTTTGCGCTTTGGATTGGAGTCTTGATGATGGACATGAACTTGTGGCTGGAGGCTGTTCCGCCGGAATCGTGGCTTTGTGGAATTTGACGACTCGGAACTCATTGTTGACTTGGTCGACCAAAACTGGCCTGGAAATGTTACCCATGAAAATGTTTCGAGCACACTCAGACTTCATTACGTGCATCCGTTTTTGCCCAGGTTTGTTTCAAGAACACAAAGCAGTTCAGCGTTCTTTTGCATTTTTGCTTGAATTGATGCACTATTATTTTTATTTATTTTATTTTTTTATTTTAATCTTGACAGAAAATATTCGAGTGTGGGCGTGACTGATTTCATTGATACAAAATGCGAGGTGTTCATTTATGTAGATAATGAAAGCTCAGTTCATCCAAGCTTCAATCAACATGCCGTGATTGAGTTCCTTGAAAATAGCTGTCAGTATAATTCAGAGACTTGGAGCAGGGTTAAAAAAATATTTTTCAGAACCACTGACTAGTACAGTTAAATTCCAGAACGAATTATTATTTTTTTTTGCAATGACAATTTTTTTCTTGTCCCAGGAGTTATTTCGTGGGAACAATGCTATAAAAATTCTATTTTTACTAACTAGTTTTCATCAAGAATCTCCTTATATAGAATGTTTGCTTTGATTATAGGTAATACAAATTTTCAATAATCGGAAAATCTGACTTCAATGCAACAAAAGATATGCAGTGCAGAAATTATAATATTTGTGAATTTATATTCAGTTATAAAATAGGCAGAGGACCATATGGGCCACTACCTATATTGAAAAGGTTCTCTAAGAAAATTATCTCAATAACATTTTTTCTGGTTCCCTGAATTTTGATGCATAGACCAGTGTTCCCAAACCCATGGTCCACAGACCAGCACCAGTCTGCAAAAGCTTTTTGCCAGTCTGTAGGAAATTTTCCTCAGCATAATAAATCAAAAGGAGCAATGAAGTCTGTTCTTTTTATCTGAAATTGATAAAAAGTAAAAGTTGGCTTTCATCCTAATAACACTTCAGACAAATTTTCAACTGCTGGAATAAATTATTTTGATTTTTATTCAGAGAAACCTTTCTTCAAGCTGACTTTTCTAATTTTTTGAAGACATTCCACTGCACTGTAGCTGCCTCATTGGTTCTTGGCTTAATGTTTTCAATAAAGCAGAAACTTTTTCAATACCTCCCATGAAGTCTTTTAAGCAACATTTTGAGTCTGTAAAAATGTTATGAAACTTTGCCTGGAAGCAGCAAATTTTTTGGAAATGTGCCAGTCCACAGAAAAAAATTGTATGGTCTGTGGGCCAAAAAAGGTTGGGGAATGCTGGTACAGACTATAGATTATGAAGTGTCCACCTGTACTGTAGTAGGGCATTTAGGGGATGCATATTTCCAGTAAGGTGTTGATGTCTTATTCTAGGGGAGGGACTTCTGTTGGGTGGCACCAGCAGAACTATCACAGGCAGCAGGGGGTTTTCCTCAACTATCTAAAATGCTTCATTTGGTATCTGTTGTACATATCTCACTAACTACACCATTTTTCAGATTTCATTGAAAAATAAACACAATCAAACCATGGGACACTTGTGTAGCACACAAGCATCCACATCTTTGAGGTTGACCCCTCAAGGAAATTCAGGAAAACCCCTCTCTCAACCTAATAATAATTGAGCAACAAGGGGAAGAATTTTCAGGGTTTGAAGACTTGATTGCCTTGGAGCAAGGGAGGTGGTTTTGTTGGCTGGTGCCAGCCAAACTGTCGCATATGGCTGGGGGTTCTCAGTTCTCCCCCAATTTTTCTCCCGAATTTTATCTCAGGCCTGGAGCAACCAAAATGTTTGCCTGCTCCAGGCTCCACTCCAAGTTCCCTGTTACAATGCAAGTCACATTACCTATTGTGGATGCCAAGTTGAGCATCAAACGTAGTTGAAACGTCGGATTAAAAATGAACGCTTTTTCTGTGAACTTTTACTTCTCAAATATTCATGAAAATGAATGACAAATTTTTTTGTGAGCATTATGTAATTCTGCAGCATCATGAAATTCTAATCTTGTTCTTGCTTCTTCCATTGGATTAGGATCTGGCTTTAAACACCTAGCGACAACTGGAGCGGATCGCTTGTTGAAATTGTGGGATATAACTGAGAATGCGTCTATGACACCAGTGTTGAAAAGAGCTACTAACAATTGGCCTCAAGAAATTCAGTGGTTGTTGAATTGGCCCATGTTTGTCATTGCTGAGCAAAACATAAGTTCTCAGCCCTCGGGAAGTCACATGATGATTGCCGGAAACTCTGCGGAGCATCAAAGATTAGCCACGTCGTCTACAAACGGAGCATTTTCCGTGTCCGTGAGCGATTGGTTCGGATGTGGTGTGATTCAAGTTATTCCCGACACCATTCTGTGGATGATGAAGCCGGGTGACAAGAGGTTCGGTTTTATATTCCACATTTATTTCAAACCGCATTTTTAAACTTCATTTTTTTCAGGTTTGAAGATGAAAAGAGAGCTCGTAAGAGACGTTTCCTCATTAGCCGAACTTTGGCTCTGCCAAAGGACGCTTCTGACAAGGAACCCAAAGTCATGGCCTGCAGATCTTACGGGAAAGCTGCTCGAGATTTTAAAATGTGTTACGTGGATGCTCCTGTGGCAGAGGAGAGTTTTTGGAAAATACCGAGAGGCGTGAAGCAGGTTGAGGATACAGTGCCTGCTGGGTCAGTGGCGATCACAACGACAAAGAAGATTGTGTTCAACAACAACCTGAATTTTTGCTCTGCAGTGGCTTCAGGAGGGCAAAATGGCATCTGTAGAATCAAAGTCTTGCGAGGACTGGAAAACGCGACGTTTTCTAGAATGAAGGATCGAATTAAGGCTCGAAAATGGTCGGAGGAAGGAATCTGATCGAGGAATATTTTTATGGATGTACGAGCGTTATCGATTTCTGTTGATCAGATATCATTTTACGATTCGACAAGTCTTAAGGACGTCCGCGATTTTTTTTTTTTTTTACAGATTTCTCTGTAACGATTTATTTTGAATCCCTTTTATACTCATCGATGGAACATTAAACATAGTTCAATTTTTTTCAATTCTTCCTCATTCGCACAAGTCAAGGGCCTGTTGATTCCGACGCTGGCTTCGCTTTTCCGAGCAGATCGAAGAACTCGGGATCAGCGCAAGGTTTCGTTGCGCACTTGATATAAGACTCCAACTATTCAGAGAGGAGACAAAGGGTGATTAAAACTGGTTTCCTTTGTGGTTTATCTTTGACAATAATCTGGAATTATTTACGTCGTCGATCGTATTCCCACGGCACGTGAGGGAGAGGACCTCCAGTGACTGTTGAAGCTTCTTGTTTATGAGATTTGACCCAGCGATTTCGTTCTTCACAGAGACTTTGTCCAGTTGACCGTTTTCTTTGAACTTGAAAATGTGCAGGAAAAAAAAAGAAATATATTATCCACGTGTTTTTCAATGCTTTGAGCATAATAACTTGCACTGAGGAATTTGGGAAATATTGAGGTGTTCATGTTGAACGATACGGCATTACAGTAAATCTCTCTTCAAGGGCGATTGGAAGATAATAGTTGATCGGGACGAGTTTAAGAAAGACGGAAATAATTAATCGGCCTCACCCAGTTCATCTTTTGACCGAAGCAGGTTTTGTATTGATCTGTCTTGAACTTCTCAATTTCATCCAGGAAGTTCTGGAGCTTCTTTTGATGGAAGTACAATTCCCGGAGGTGGTTCAAGCATTTGTAATCAACTCCAGGGTTTTCCACTTGCTTCCTGGTCCATTGAGCCAGTCCACGTGGCAATGGCTTCTTAACTTCCTCTGAAGCGCAAATGTCCTTGAATTTATCTTTCTTTCCGTTCGAATTTATCTTTCTATTTAGCTTTGTTCTCCTAGAGTAAGTTTCCCGGCGAGCGAGAAAAAAAAATTCGTGATATTGCTTCCTTTTATTTTTCAGATGAAAAAAAAGTCCCTGTTTCCTTTGCGATGGGAAAAAATTGTACTTCGGGTTCCGCATCCAGCGCGTCATCATAAAATTAAGTACTCTACGTTTTAATACGGTAATTTTTCTAGATTAATTCGTGCACCTCCACTTACTTCACAGATTTCAGTCAATCTTCTTCGGCCGATTTGATTCTTATAAGCCTCTTATAAAATGAACAAATTTGTGTGACTACATTTGCAAGGCTTCTTTCTAATCCTTTTGATTCCACCCAAAAAACAGAAGGGTTTAGTGTGGCATTGTACAGTACTCCATTCAGGAATTGAATCATCAGGTTGAACCTCATGTTCGAGAATGCACGAACACCTGGGCCACATTTTTCGCATTCCTATCCCTGATTCGGTTTTCCGGTTTAATAATTCTATGCGTACTTCTCGCATTTTTAAATATACAGGAATTTTGTTCCTTTTGATGTTTCCTAGATCCGCAAAAAATTCTTGCGATGACTGCGAAGTGTTCTCTGCTGAAGAGTTACACTGCTGACACGACATACGCATCGAAAGGTTGAACATTACAATTACCCTTGGGTTTCTTGAATTGAACTAATCAGTAACAGCTACTGGGACTTCTTTTCAAAATTTTACATCATTTTTTTCTAACTAAGGAAACGATGAGTTGGTGTGACTTGCTGAGGTATCAAAGGTTGTAAGGAGTTGTTCGACGTTTCTTTATATGATACAGAGCATTTTCAAAATCCTTGTATATGAGGATTACATTTTTTAAATCAGATACTGTACAGTATCATACTGACACAATAAAATGCCTGTGATGTCGTGGTTGATATTCTACCTCAATATGAATATGTGCGTTGTTATAATCTTCACTTTCCGGGCTTTTTACAATTAGAAACATGTTGCCTGTTAAAAAAGATTTACTTTTTCACTTATTTCTTTCATTATTCTTTTAATTCATGATTTTACTTTTACCAAGAAGTCAAGTATATAGGGAAATATAATTTCACGGGTTTCCATTGACTGCGTCTATAAGTGATTGTAAAATACGGTTTCGTTGTGAATAAATATTTGGACTTGTGTATATTTTAGTCGCTTAATCCCGTCTAGTGAACTTGTCATTCTGGTGAAATTATATTAATTAAAAAGATATCAGGGTTCCACTTTTCCGAAATTCAGGTCAAATACGATTTTCTGTAGGTCTAAATTTCACTGACCTCGGGCTTGTCCTTCGAAATCAGGAATAGGCACCCCCAGTTTATCCTCACATGCCTGTTGAGCAACCCGACTGCGGGCAATCCGTTCTTCCGTCTTAATGCTTGCGGCGCATTGACACATGTCCGCATTCTTTTCAGTACATTTGAAAAGAAAATAATTAAAAACGCAATTCAGTTCACCGAAATACAGCAATACCAGCTGAATGAACACTTACGATGTTTTTCGGAATTTTCTTAATATCGATCAAGTACTGCGATTGGGCCACGGTGACGAAAACCACGATAAGGAGTGATCCTCTTGCCAGAATACCGTTCATTTTGGTCATTGAGCAAAATTTCTGTATCAAGTGTTCTTTATACACTCGATGAATTGAGGAAGTTTTGTTGAAAAAAATGCGTTTGCGGGTATTCTATCGAAAGATCCGAGTAAGACGACTGTGACCAGTAAGCGTCTGGAAGCAAGTGGAGCAGAGCGAGCGTATATATCGGTAATATGCGCCCGAACAGCAATTTTAATTATGGAGAGTTGTCGACGCAATGGCTGGGTAAATGGCTACTATCGCGATTCCCGGGAAGAATTCTTCTGGGTGATTCGATGATTGTATCTATATTATATGTATTATACCTGCTGGTTGTTAACTTGGTTCCTTGACCTCTGTATTACAATACACGACTGCCTGGACTAGTAGCAACAGAATAATGGTGGAGTTGAAGGCTTGAATAAAATAAGGTTGCAGTACAATATACTGCTGTTAATATAAAAATATATATATATATATTGTACAGGGGTTTTCCTAGTTGGACGGGATCTCTGATATTTTTAGAGCATGATGAGATTAAAAAAAATCATGACAGATGCTCTGATCTGAGGTTCTGCAATATTTTTTCCTGATTAAAAAAATAGTTTTTTTTATTTACTGCATCACGATAATGCAAACCTCCCTGCAGTTCATTAATTCCAAATAAGTTTTCCAGCACCCATGTATATAGGTCCTATAAAAACGCGTCAAACTGCTGGCTAAAAATTGAAAATATACGGTAGTCATACCCAATTTATGGTCATTGTTTGTCCTGGTATATTTTGTGGCACTTACATAAGCAAGAGTGTTTTTGCATCAGAAAAAAATTATTTGAGCTTTTCTACTAAAGGGGAAAACAAGTTTTGTTGTTGTGCAGAATTGCAAGGTCATTGAGTCTGTTTTATAAAAAAAGAAAGCGGGACAAAATAATTTGAGGCTCAAATGGACTGTTTTTACTGCATTCATATTCATGTTCCATTATCAGAGAATATGTTAGATTTATATGCAAAAATTGGGTCAAGCTGGTTAATGATTGGAACAGTTTCTCTCGCAGTTTTGTATCAACGTTTCAATGAACGCACAAAATTCTAAGATCCAGTGGAGCGATTTTTAATTTTTTTCATTGAGATTATCCCAGTTATTATTGAGATGCTCTTTGCTGAGGAGGAAATTCAAATAAAACCACTAGCACAATTACATGTAAATTCAGAAATAAAATTTCGCAATTCATCCTGAGCATGATGGGCGTATATAAGTAATAACCTAATGCTATTAGTAGAAATTTGTCTTAATTTCTCTGATTTTGGCCTAGTTTTCATTCAGGAGAATCGCAGGACAGACACTTTTTGTGGCACTCAGTATAAGTTATTAATTGGCACTAAATTGAGGATCTCTTATTATAAACATATGATTTGTTCCCAGGAAATTTGTGGCACTATATGCAGAGGGGTTGGCACCAAATTGAGAGTTGACTTGTTGTTTGTTTTAATCATTACATGAAATGTTTAGAAAATATAATGGGTGAAACAATCAACAATTTCAAAGTTTTAGCTGGCCTGACAAATTTTTAGCACCCAGTGATGCAGATGGAGAACTGTGGCTTCTGTAACTGGAAAGTTTTCACTTATACTGTACCATCATGCAGCTCAAAATGTTTTTTTTTTTTAATCTGAAAAAATCGCAGAATCTTGGGACATTATTATATGGGCTATTCATGATAATTTATTTTACCATGCCATATACAATAACGTTATTCAAAACGAACAAAATTCAAAATCGTCAACACAGTTTTTCTATCTCACTTTGCCATAATACATAACATATGTCAAAAATATGCTGGCATGACCATGGACAAAAATGTTTTCGTGAATCACGGTGAATGAGTTATGAAGCATCTTTGTACTGAAATATCCGTGAAATCATTCAGTGTGATACACAAGTGTATATAGGCCAAGTGGCCAACGATCTAGAAGCTGAGCGCCGATTTCGCTCAATATGCAAAGATGCAATGCGTTATTGCCTGTATGGTCCTGTTCTGTCATAGAGAGCCTCCCCCTTGAGAACACGACTCTTAGACTCACACACTTGGTCTTCTGTGGACCAATACCGTCATGGATGCCTTTGTAATTATCTGAGATTTCGTCTCCTGTTTTGGAAGGACGATGACAGTTAGTCAGGTACGTGGAAGGAAATTCGAGGCCGCGGGAAGTTTCGTGGTTAACGAGAAATGAAAGAAGAGTTGTAAGACCAGTATCATTTCCCCGTGAATTCTCGTATCTTTGGACTCCAACGGTTTAATACTGAGTTCTTTACGAAGGTTACGATAGTGAAAACAGTCGATGAACTATGGTGAGCTGAGCCCGACTTCATCGAGTGGCCGCGGTGGTATGAAAGCAAAACCTAGTGATCACAAGGGTCTGAGCAGTGACCCTTCTGCTGAGGAATTGAAATCTGAAGGTAACAAGCTGTATCATGCGCGTAAATACGACGAAGCGACTCGTTGTTATTCGAGGGCGATTGTAAGTAATCCAGTCGTGTTTCCGTCGTATGATGTGTTAATGTTGATCTTCTTCAGCAAAAAAGCCCTAATGCGCGCGTCTACTTGACGAATCGCGCTTTATGCTACATAAAGCTAAACCGTTGGGAGGACGCATGTCGAGATTGTCGCCGGGCGTTGGACATCGATTCTACATCAGTCAAGGCCCATTTTTTTCTGGGCCAAGCTTTGGTGGAAATGGATGTACTGGAAGACGCCATAAAGCATCTTCAGCGTGGTGAGAAATGAAAGATGTCACAGAAATCCTGAAGGCTTCCTCTATTTTTGGATTTCATTGATTTTGAAGCAAGCGATCTCGCCCGCGAACAGCAGCTCAATTTTGGGGACGATATCGCGCATCAACTGCGAGTAGCTCGTCGAAAGAAATGGAATGCCATGGAAGAGAAACGGATGACAGGAGAAGTGGAACTTCAAGCGTATTTGAACAGACTTATCCTGGAAGACAGAGACAAAGAAATCCATAGATTGCGTGGAGACAAATCGTATGATGAAATTGATGATGACGCCGTTGCATCGATAGAAAGAGCAGCGGATTCCAGAACTGCGGAGCTTAACGCTCTCTTCTCGAAGATGGATGAACGGCGAATGGTAATTTCATGGTTATGTCTCATTTTTGGTGTCTGAATCCGAGAATGTGTTTTTTGCATTTTGTCTAGAAACGAGAAGTTCCTGATTATTTGTGTGGAAAAATTAGTTTCGATTTGCTTCGCGATCCGGTGATAACTCCTAGTGGTATCACGTATGACCGGAAAGACATCGAAGAGCATCTGATGGTGAGTATGATGCGTTATAAAATCTATATGCCGACGTGGCATCCGCCTTACATTGCGCCGACGCTCCAGTCTGATTCTGAGTAAGGTGCTGTACTTCATCGTAAAATAGCAGGATGGGATGCAAATTTAATGCTAGGGAGGAATTGGACAAGCTTTTTTTTTCATCTTTCAAAGACACGTTTTAGGAGGCTCAATGTCAAAGGAAACCAAGCTTGAACGCGTCAATATAAATTTTCAATGTTTTGTTTAATGATCAGGTTTGTTGCGTGCTTGCGTAAAGTTTACATGTTGCAATCAGCCTGTTCTGACCATGAAACTGAACACTATTAGAGGCACCTACTAGAAAGGACCGTACCTGGAGCATGAGTCCTGGAGGAATTATTACAAATTCATTCAATCAGCAGGTTGAAAAACTGAACGAATTCTGTGCATGAAGTATGTATTGTACTGTATCTTGAAGCAAGCATATTCTTCATTTGGTTCAATCCTTTCCAATAAATCCGTCTGTCGTCGTGTGTCTGGTTTGTGAGGGTCGTGATGGGTTTTTCGGGAGAAAATTTGAGATTTCTTAAACAAACGAATTTATATTATATCTATATTTTCCTTCCCTTTTTTGTACTAGCGTGTTGGACACTTCGATCCCGTGACTCGAGCCCCGTTGACCCAAGATCAACTCATCCCAAACTTATCGATGAAAGAGGTCGTGGACGCATTTTTGAGCGAGAACGAATGGGCATTGGACTATTGATCCGCTGTATCGAATAAGTGTAGATCGCGCTCTTAGATTGCAAGTGTGGATTTAAAATCGTAAGCGCCAGTGATACGTGAATTTTTTCTGACAATAGAATTGCATGTGATTGTAAGTTTTCGATAACGAAACTATACTCTTGGGGAAATAATGTGTAGAATATTGCGGAGAAAATCTCTTGTTTGATACGAACTACGGATCCATTTGAGTTCTTCAGGATTTCATTTCCTAAAAATTCATGCTCAGCTGCACATGACTACCGTAAATGTTTATGTCTACTTCCTTCGAATCCAATCTTGCTAAAACGGCTTCGGCTGTCGTTCGTATGCTTCACAAAGCCTTCAGCTGTTTTTCCTCGCTTGGGTTCAGTTCCTGAATATTTCAGGAATTTTTCGATTGATACTGAAACTTTTTTCTATTTTTCAAAAACGTTGAAAAAATTCAGTTTCTATTCGAATAGTCTGGGATGATTCCGATTAAATCACTACGTCGAAGTTTAATACTTTATTCTGAATTCATGTATTTTTTGAGAACCGGCCTTTTCTCCGGAAAGGCGTATAACATTGTTGTTGGATTGAGGATGAACTCGTGAAATTTCGAAATTTGCGGCACAACTTTTCATTTCATCATGTCAGCTTGAAATCGTTCTTTTGCAATTTAAAGTTTTTTTCTTTCTTTGTGAAGACTTCTTTTTGCATCCCGAGTCGAGAAGCTTCAAAAATTTAGATGCCTTGAAAATTGAACGGCGATCTGGATTTATGAAAAAAGAGGATGAACGAATCCAAGGGATGGCTCTGCGCAGCATGTGAAATGCGGATAAAGCCTTCGTTATGGCTATCCCACATTTTCACGAAGAAGCACAAGACGAAATCACTTGTGAGAAACCCATCGGCATCTGAACTTGAAAAATATGTCCACGTCACTGGTGAGATTATGAAGTGGTTGGCAAATCTTGACCCGTTTTCAGTGCAGTATTCTATGATGTTCGCAGGAGTCGACTTGGACGCTCGTGATGTTGCCCAAAATTTCTTGACTTTCGGATTAGTGATCAACTGTGACCGAGTGCGTGGTCAAAAAGGAACCTCTCCATTTTACTTCGTCGAATTCGACACCGTGTATGTTGAAGATAATTCTTTTCGTTTGTCATAATCCTTAATTTCAGGGAACGAGTTCATATTTCAAGGCTATGCGGACGTCTTACCGTTCGTTTCGTTTTTGATTAGGAGACCGGGTGTAAGCATATTTTTCCAATCATATTAGCTGGTTAAAGAGAACCCCATCCTTCTACTAAATATGTATATTTCCTTCATGTACGGGAATTTTTGTAAGAATCTGAATCCTTGGGCTTCTTGCCTGGGAAGAGCTGAGGAATTTTCGGAATTCACAAACACAAATCAGGAGCAGTCTTCGTTCACATTAGGTACAAGGCATTTTCAGGATGTACTGTACCAAAATTGATTCGACCTTAATCAGTGCTGCCCGACTCGGACGTGACCGAAGGCAACATTCATACATTTTTTGTGTTACTTCCAAGGGCCATATTGCAGAGGGGGAGTCTTCGTGGGCTGCAGCAGTCAATAATTTTTGAGGCCCCAAATGTTCCCCTTTTGGATGAAAAGTTTCAAATTTAATTGAGCGCTGTGCAAGAAAGCACAAACACAGCCTTATAAAATTTTGGCAGAGGTAGAAACATTTTAAATTCGACTTCTATGTATATTTCGATTTCATTTGTGAAAATTATATGGAAGGGGCCGTGGGATGGATGACGTGTCCCCGCAGGCCGTATGTTTGTCAGCACTGATTTATATCAAGGCCGTCAAATACACTTTTTTGAAGATTAGATTCTGGGTCGTGTTAGTGGGATGAATTTGAGTTTTAGTTTATTCGACAGTCTCATAGATGAACAAAAAAATTATTTCTTGAAGAAATTATTTTTGTGTGGAAAAGCTGCACGTTTCGCGTTTTATTGTCTCAAATTAACTGATTTTTTGCTGAATTATAACTATTTATGCAGTCCATCTTCCGAAGCAATGATCGCTGTTGTACCGGAGTACAATGTATTACCGTATATATTTCCGTTCACAGAGATCAAGCTGTAACTGCTGTTGCCACTGGACGCCATCAAATCGATGGTAATACCTTTTACATCCGAAGACGTACAGCGAATGTTTTCTCTGCAACCTCGTGCGAATTGGACGCCATAAAGGAAAATATGATGACTTCGGAAACGCCGTTTCATCAGATTGATAATCTGATATCGCTCATCAGAGTGACGGACTCCGAAGTGACAGCTCGACAAGAATTCTGTGCGCACCTCCAAGGGCATCTTCGGCAAGCGTTCAGAGCAGAAACCGAAGTCCTGCTCTTTGGTTCGTGTGTTACGAGACTGGGATTTCGAGGAGCCGACGCAGATATTTATGTGAATTACAATTTTAATGAAAAAGATGAGCTAACTCAAGAGCACCAGGTTAGAATCACAGCAAATATCATCAAAAAAATCCCCCGAGCCTCCTGCATCCAGCCAATATTGAAAGCGAGGGTACCGATTGTAAAATTTTCTTACCCGCCTTTGGGGATCCACGTTGATATATCATTTCGGAACGAAATGAGTTTGCGGAACTCGGAGTTGATTCTTTATTATATGAGCTTGGATATCCGTTACTGGAAAATGATGATGGTTTTGCGTTGGTGGGCGAAAAAGTTTGGAGTCACGTCAGCCGGTAGTATGCGTGGAGGTGGATGTTTCACGAATTACGCTTTCAGTTGGCTTGTTATTTTCTTCTTGATGCAAATCGAACGTGTACCGAATGTGGCCTGGTTGCAAAATGGGATCGAGAAATTGGTCGAAGGATGGAATTGCACTTTCATACCGAGAAATGTCGGAAAACAGGACTCATCGTACAGTATTCTGGATCTCATCACCCGCTTTTTCGACTACTATTCCACGTTTGAGTTTGGATTATTCGCAGTGTGTCCTTTGACAGGTGAACCAGTTAACCGATTGGATTTGGCCAAACCTGAAATGCTGGGACCTGGATTTAGTTTATACAAATCTGCGTGTGAGAAAGGCGCTTCGAAAATTGACCAGATCTGCGCAGTTTGCATTCAAGATCCTTTTGAGCTCTCGTACAACGTCGCTCGTGGCGTTTCAGCAAAATTATCAGCGAGCTTCGTTGCGAAGTGCCAAGAGGCCGCCAGAGTGTGTCGATTGTGGTTTGAAGAAGACGCCCTTGGGGGTCTCTATCCGTTAATTTATATGGCATTAGGTGACGATGCTGCGAGAAAAGCCGTGAACTCGCACTTCAAGGTGCCGTTTCCGAGAAGTGTCAATGCCTCTGCTTGGCTTCCGACAATGGTCTTCGACATCAGCTTGGATTCGTGTCCGTTGGTGAACTTGTGTGCCCAAGCCGGGGCATCCTCGCCTGAAGAATATGTGAAATTCTGGTTCGACGCTGTTTCGGAGGCACTGGGCCTTGTATTGTCCAAGTTTCTTTTCTTAACGACTTGGCAGTTTGTGCCAGTGCCAGACCAATGGTCGAGTTTGGATGAAGAGAAGAATGTTGATGAGCTAGAGAATTTCAAACCAGTGTTTTTTTGCATGCTCAACGCGGAACTGCAAAGTGCCAAGTTAGAAGCGAAGAATGGTCTTCCTGCTGAAGCATCGGTGAGTATAAACTTCGTTTCATTGAAATCTTTTCAATGCTCTCTGTCTCTCTCCTTCACGCTTCCTTTGTGACAAATGCAGTCCTTCATAACCAAAGAAAGAATTCCTTTTGCGTGATTCGTGCTTGGCGATCAAGAGGAATGCTGAACTTATTGAGGAAAACATTAATGGAGATTTTGGAAATTTATGTCTCGCTTTTTTAACTTATGAATGAATTACCTTGCCTAGTAATAATTTGCAAGTGTACTCTTTCTGCAACGATTTTGTCTTTGACGATCTTCTGGGTACAACGAATTTCTTTGGTCCCCTATGCCCTAAAATTCTCCCCCCTTGTTATAAGGATTCTACACGACGAATTTTGTGTAGTACGGTACCTTGAATTTCGTTGTCCGCCTGTAGTTGTAGATAATATTATACAGAATCCGTAAAATCTACCATGAAATTTGTTCAATGATTAATTCTAAATCAATGTACAGTAATTAAAAAGGGGCTTCAGATTGAAGCGCTGTATGTTATGTTACAATGTCGTAGAATGTAGGTTATGTACCTATACAAAATCCTATTACAGTACAGCGAATTTTTAGGGACTCCATGAAAAGTTTATTATATGGTACAGATATTGACAAGTTGGCTGTAATTAGATTGTTTGAACATGCACTCTGTACTCCATACGCTTTCTACCAGGACTTGTGAAAACGTTTGTTACACTCGAAAAAATTGTGACAATATGTGTTGTAATGAGATTTCACTGTAGAAGTGGGTATACATTCTAGCTGTCATAATTTTATGTGAACTGTGACGTTGTGCACATGCACCGGAGAAAGTATTGTATGATACAATTTTGAAAAGCCGAAGTCTGCACGGGCATCCCACCTAAATGTTCTTGGCTTTTTCAAGTAAATCTTGACAGTCAACTCTGTGAAGAACCTGGAAAGTTTCAAGAAAGGGAAAATAGCAAATTAACCAAGAACCATTCCGACTTACCGTCTTAGTGACCATTAGAGAAACAGGGACTCTTTTTTTTGGTTTGCTGATGCACCATTTAGCTGTAGAGTGTGTAGATGTCACTCGGAGTCATCTGAGGTTTCTTCTGCTTCTGTGTTTTTCCTTCTCAGGAGGAAATGTGTGTCGTAGCATAAAAAATTCGAGAATTTCATGAATTTGAGTCACATTTAGAAAAAAGTAGTGGGTACAGGATTTGCATTTTTCAGGCTTCCAGCGATCCTATTTAAACTCCCATCGACATTTTTTCCCATGAATCTTGATACACGCTTGCACGAGTTTCACAGAAGAGTTGAAATACTTTACGAAAAATTACTGATTCCTCGAGAACTTGGTAAATTTCAGGACACTTTATCTACTGAGAACCACGAATTAAATCTCCATTGTCAAGTGACTTTCATTGTTTGCGCTTACGTAGGTGGCCAAGAATGGATTGGAGAAGGTGTTGTCTCCATTGCCCATCGTCGGACGACCTGTTTATGGTCCTATTCATCGCCGATCCACCCGTGCGAAAAATTTGCACGCGGAACTGCTTAAAAATCTAACCAAGTTCTCGATGAGTCCACCCTTGAGTTCATTTTTCAGCGAATTCAAGCATCCCGTGATGCTCCGTAACAGTTCGCAAATGAATGCCAAAAAATCCAACCCTTCTTTGACTCTTCAAGAAAAGGAGCAATACGTGAGTGCTCACGTGTTGCACACCCTGCGCGAAAAGGAGGATTTTTTAACTTTCGAAGTTCCTCTGAGGGATTTGCTTGTCGTGATTACGGCAACCGCAAACCCTCGTGGAGTGCGAGTCTTCTTAAAAGAAGGAAGCTCTGTGGGATCAAATGTTTTGTTTAGTGCCAGCAATTTTTACGGAAAGGCAAATAACGTCGAGAAGTTCCTTTCTACACAATTGGAGCTTCTCATTCGGGCTTGTTTGAATGACCGGGAACGCAGAGCTGTTCCTAGCAATGGTACTGCGAGGGAAGACGATGCTGAAGACGGAGTGGAAATTCCTGCGGAGAATTCTGAACCGAATAGAAAGGAGGCAGAAGTTGATCATCTTAGAAGTGACGGTGGACCTGGTGATGAGAACGAGGAAATGAGTTCCTGATTTTAAACGACTTGCATTGGGGACATACTGTTTTTTTTTTTTTGCAGCTAGGGACTGATATTCAAAATACGCGGTGGACCAGAAAACAAATGACGAAAGTTGAAGCTATAATACGCGCATTTTTTTCATCGGTTCGGGCTGTGTTATGGAGAAATTAATGTAGAATAAAAGCTCATAAAATTCCCTTTTCATGGATGTCTGACTCTACGGCAATGCATGATTTGAAAAATTTTATCTCTGCGTTTGTCGATTGATCAGAGGAAGAATCCGCAAAAGCAAAATGAAAAACTCCATCGACATCAATTTTGAGAAGTTTGGGTTGAACTGTGACTGGCAAGGCTAATTTCACCGCCACTGGAAACTCTCTTTGACAACTTCTCAATTTTTTGGAAATTTTTAGAGAAGAGTAGGAAAAAGCCCGTAATATCTCAACTTGTGAATACTCCACTATGATCTGGATGAATGACTGAAAGTCATTGGAAGTCTTGAAACTGGGTAACATCTCTGTGAATCCGTTCAACCCTTTTAGGAAAACACCGTGGGAATTTGTGATCATTGTGAATTTTATTCAAATTCGCGTCCTTGGCCATGAACTGGAAACCATAACATTCAAGAGAATTGGAGTAGCTTCAATCTGACCCGTTTTTAACATCATACTATTGCAGGAGGTAGCTAAGACTGGTCTACGGTTCTGTTCCACCTTGTATTCTGAGTTTTTGACGTTCACCATGGAGAATTCTTTGAGAAACCATCATCGCTTTGAAAATGAGTGATTTGATTCCGGTTGTGACGATTAGATGCTGGTCATTGGACTATCGCACAGTTTGTTATTTTTTCAACGACTTCTAATCGTTTCAGAGCTGGAAACGTATCGCGACGATTATTTGAAACAAGGGAGTTGTAATGTACAATTTGTGTGTTGCCCTGAATTCTTCCGTGCGTGTTTTCACTATCTATCCTCGAAGAGAGAACATTTTTATTGAAAGCATTTGCTTATGATGTTTCCTAGGATTTAATCTATCTGCTCTGACTGTTCGGAAAGTCATGGAAATTTCGCATTCTTGTGAAACCTTCGGGTGCGATGCGGTCGCAAATATGCAGTGTCCGACCTGCCTCAAGCTGAATCTCAAGTCCGCGTTCTTCTGCTCTCAGGAGTGCTTCAAACGCAGTTGGTCTGTTCATAAATTGGTTCACCGAACAAGTAAGTTTGATTCGTTGGATGAGCGTATTGCTTAGTGTGCCAATATGAAATCTAAAATATGCTCCCATAATTTTGAAATGCCGTATTAAGCATCGTATTTACTGGAGTAACCAAACAAATCAAGGCAGAAAATGAGTTGCGCTTTATAGTCGGGTAAAAATTTTTAGGAATTTTTTTTTCAATACCAACCTTTTTTCAACTTCGAAAAGTTTCGAAGTTCTCTTTTTTGAGGATACTTTGTTTTGCATAAGAAAAAACATCAAGAAGAAGTCAGCTTTCAAAATGACTTGCATTTAGATTTTACCCCATGTAGTTCTTAAAAAATGAATTTGGGAACTGAAAATTAAGTTGTGTGTGTGATTCGGGATAGAGTTTTTTCCTAAATTTTTGCAGAAAAACTAAGATGCACTTTTTACTCAAGGGCACGTGGTACTCGAGTAAATGCGTAACCTATTTTCATCATGGAATGTAATTAATCTTCACTGTTTATTTTATAAATTTTCATCGCCTGGATGTTGAGCGATGATTTCATTTCAATCCTTTGAAAACTTGTAGAAACCGTGACTGCTTACGATCCGTGGCCGGGATTCACGTTTTCCGGAAAACTGAGACCAGCTAAATTATCTATGCGAAGAGATGTTCCCGATAATATACCTCGACCGGACTACGCTTTGCACCCAGAAGGCATTTCGTTCAGCGAACAACATTCGAAAGGCAAGCAAATCGTTGTTCTGGACGATGTCAAGAAAGAAGCTCTTGCCGTGGCTTGCAAGGTTTGATTGTGCTAATATTTAATTTGATTTTAACAGAATTGACGTGTATTTTTTTCTAGCTTGGACGTGAAGTTTTGGATGAAGCGGTGAACGCCGTGGAAGTTGGAGTCACTTCAGACGAGATCGACAGGATCGTTCATGAAGCGTGTGTAGACCGGGAATGTTATCCGTCGCCGTTGAATTACTATCAGTTTCCGAAATCCTGTTGTACGAGTATCAATGAGGTTATTTGCCACGGAATTCCTGATGTGCGACCACTACATGATGGCGATATTTTGAATAGTGAGTCTTACTTCTTCTAGAGGACATTTCTGTGTTTAGAAATGACATTTTTTCAGATTAGGTATACCGTTCGAGAAATAATTTTCTCCTATCAATGTCTGATGATTGATCGCATTTTTAATTTTAATTCTCAGTCGATGTAACAGTCTTTCATCGCGGATTCCACGGAGATCTTAACGAAACGTTGTTTGTGGGAAACGTTTCGGATACAGCAAAAAAGTTGGTGCAAGTAACCTGGGAATGTTTAGAAAAAGCGATTGCAATTGGTAAGTCCTGAAAATCCTTATATTTTTCTCTTTTATTCATCAGTTTGTGATTCTAGTGAAACCCGGGGAGAAATATCGAGAAGTAGGCAATGTTATTCAGAAACATGCCCAGCATCACGGATTTTCCGTGGTTCGAGCTTATTGTGGACATGGAATTCATGAATTATTTCACACTGCTCCATCTGTACCGCATTATGCAAGTAAGGAAGTTTTGATGTTATTGCGATGTAAGTGATCCTGTTTCAGTAAGTTCATTTCCTCCTTTCAGAAAGTAGAGCCATGGGGACAATGAAACCTGGGCATTCTTTCACGATCGAGCCGATGATATGCGAAGGTAAATTTATATCAGATTTAATCGCTGAATTATTGCTGATACATTTTTCCCCTCAGGAACATGGAAAGATATGCTCTGGCCCGATAATTGGACAGCTGTTACTTTGGACGGAAAATTATCCGCGCAGTTCGAACAGACTTTGATCGTCACAGATACTGGCTGTGAAATCTTGACTAAACGCCTGGAGCGCAATGGGCAGCCGTACTTCATGGACTCCATTTAATTGCTATGAAACTTTTGGTTGACTACGAAAAAAAAATTGTTCAGTTCCCGATTCTCTGGAAGTTCTTTGCGTTGGGCGGATTAAAACTCACTGGAAATAGGCGTTGTTTCCCTGGAATCGTAAATTTCGAAGTGTATCTACTTTTATTGAACTGTGTGATTTTTCCGTTGTGTAGCTTTCGGATCAGTTACCGATAAAATGGAGAATGTGTCGGCGCATTGGTTTCGTCATGGGTTGAGGCTGCATGACAACCCGGCCCTTCTGGAAGGGTTTTCTCGAGCATCGAAGGTCTTCGCCTTCTTTACTTTCGACGGTGAAAGCGCCGGTTAGAGACTCTTGAATTTAACTTATGAATAAAGGTTTCAAAAAATTATTTCTCTTGTCCTGCTCAAAGGAACGGGATGGATCGGTTACAATCGGATGAAGTTCATTTGCGAAAGTCTGGCTGACCTGGACCGCAGTTTGCGGAGCCGAGGAGGTCGTTTGTGGATTTTCCAGAAAGACGTCACCACTCTTCTGTCGGCATTCAAATCACGCTTCAGTCTGACGAACCTTTCGTTCGAACGTGATTCGGAAGCTGTTTGGCAAAACCGGGACTGCGCCGTGCGTCAGCATTGTGCTTCTTCGGGGATTGATTTGGTGGAAAAAGTATCTCTGACTCTGTGGGATCCTGATCAAATTCTGGATGCGAATGGAGGGTTGCCACCTTTGACCATGGTGGAGTTCCTCAGCATTGCCAAGAAGCGTGGAGATCCTGAGAGGCCTGTGGACTCGGAAAACGTGGATTACAGGTGATTTTTTAGAATCGTTAAATCTGTAAAATTTCTTCTTTGATTAATATTCAATATTGACTATCTTCAAAGTAATTCGGACCTTTATCTCAAACCTACTTTTCTTTGCTTCGTGTCGCAGATAGTCTAAACTTGGATCTTGGACATACTCATGTAATCTTGCAATATGTTCGACCTGCGAACAAATTTTAAATCGAAGTTCCTATTACTTCGGTGCATGAGATTATCATTGTCATTTTTTCGTAACTTTATTTTTCCTGATGCCATAATTCTCTTTGCATATGCCTACTTCGACTCCACTCGTGTAAAATAAAAATAAAAAATTCAAGTTTCACGTGAAACTTGCGCATGTCGCCAGAAAAAAGCCGCCTAGAACCCAGGTAGCTTAAAGCGAGTTGAGAAAACATGCTACAGGTTTTCCAATAGTTTCTTTGTTGAGACAAATTTTTGTATACAATTGCGTGGAAGAATTTTAAATGTTTACATGCTTGTCCTCATTCGGCGGGGGGACATCTTCAGCATTTGATACAAGGTTAGCTGCGATATTGTTCAGAAAACTTGTCTGAATCCGTTTGCAGTGCAGAACGTATTTTTGGATGACCTGTATGCGAGTAAAATACTGTGTTCAGGGAATTGATAGTGAGAATTGGGCTGCGTCATTTTATAGTTTCTTCGATCTGGAGACAGCATTTGCAAATGACAAAGGAATGTTGGATGAGCTCTGCTTGTTCCCGGGTATCCCAACGCCGGAAGATTTTGGAATATTGCCCGAGCCTGGGCAAGAAATTCGTCTCTATATTGGTGGTGAAACACGAGCTGATGAATTGCTCATCAAACGATTGCAGGCGAGTTCGGTTGTTTGGACTGGAATGATCGACTTCCCAGACTCCGGGATTTTCTTTACAGTCTTTTAGGTGTCTTCTGAGTTCGATTTCTGGGTCTTAAATGTTACTTGGGTTTAGCATGCTTGGTTTTAATAAGCTACCGTATTTTCGTGAATATAAGCACCTCCAAGAATATTCATGAATACAAGTTAAATTCATTAGTATGCGAGTATAACCACTTAATTTCCTGGTGTTATAAAGAAAGAACACCAGGACTTTTCAAGAACCTAAAATTTCTGACTAAATTTAGGTTTTCTCCAGAAAAGAAAAACTGGGTCACACAGCCCCTCGCTCTTCCCCTTCAGTCCATGACTCTTGCTTTTCGAAGTGATAAAAGCTGACCAAATCTCGATTATTTTCAACTTCTATTCCAAAACATTTGAAGAAAGAAAGTACTTGATCGTTTCATGGGCTAAGACAGGAATTCAGTATAGGACGCACGTTGACGCAAATTGCATGAATATGCGAATATGAGCACCCCCTATTTTTTGTTAGCTTGTAAAATGAAAAAGTAAGTGCTTATGTAGTTGTACTCGTGGAAATACGGTATTTCATTCCAGATCAAGTTATTTTATTTCAGTTCAGGTGTGTTGGGTTGAGTGTGAGTTTGATTGTCGGAACAGTAATTCGGGTGATGAAGAGAAAGATATACCATTTGTCAGTATTCAGTTCATCAGGTTCCGTATTGCATGAGTGATCAAGAAATGTGCGATCGTAAATGCATAAAAAGGCATATGATTCATATGAGATAATTATAGAGGTACATCCATTTTTACATTTTCAGAGTATACAGTAGTAAATACCGATAGGCTTAGACGTCCAGGATTTTTGTAGGGTTATGCAGAATTTATATACTGTACTTACTAACCTGCTTAATAATAACAGGTGGAGAAAAATGCGATGCAAATGCAGATCACGCAACCCAATCATGCGTTCCCGAATCTAATTGCTCCTCCGATGTCGCTGTCACCGTACCTTCGTTACGGATGTCTGTCGATCCGGAAATTCTATTGGCTCTTGTTGGACATGCGTCGAGTTGGGCTTTCGACGACGACGTGCACTTCTGCTCTGGGCCTCGTCATGCAGCTGATGTGGCGCGAATACTTTTACTGCATGTCTACGCGTAATCCCGGCTTTGGTCGAATCGAAGGGAATCAAATTTGCTTGCCTATTCCTTGGAGCCGAGATGAATCTTCGCTGAATGCCTGGAAACTTGGAGTTACGGGTAATTTGAGGATTCATTCAGTTTTCTAAAATTATTCAACCATCTGCACCAGACATTGGCGTAAAATATAAAACATATTTGAGGAATATTGTAGGTACCTAGTTTCTGTGAGCATTCAGGTGTAATCGTCCACTAATGTGCTTGATAATTTTCGATTATCCAAGAAGTTACCACCTTTTTCCAGAGTTCAGTGGTTCTTTAAAAAATAATGCATCGATGATTAATAAGCAATAAATGAATAGAAAAATCATAATTTAATAAGTACATGCTTAATAAATGATAAAAAAGTAACAAATTATAATTAATAGATAAATGATAAACAAATGATAATTATTAAAATAATTGAATAATTAGTAGATAAATTATCAATAAAGAAATGATGAATACTTAATAAATACATGATAATAAATAAATAAATAAATGATGGTTAATTAATAAATGAATGATAAATAATTAATAAATTCATGATGAATAATGAATAAATAAATGAATAATAATACTTCTGAGGGCTCGTGTGAATATCAAATTCGAAGTTTTTTGCAACAGTTGACTTCCACTTCTTGGTCAACCGATTGGTTTTTCTTTGTTGTCATCCTACTGTTCGCAAAATTTAATGATGCGAAGTACTGTACAGTATTCAACTTTAAAGGACGAATTCGAACAGCAATCTCGCATAATCTGATTATTTAGGCGATTTCAAGTACAGTTACTAATTTCATGCTACATGCTTCCCTGCATGGGAAAACCAGACCAGTTCTGCAGTTTTTTTTTAATTTCTCAGAGGGGAATCACAAATTTGATTACCTAGTCTCGGTTATTGACCCCTTGAACTTGACGACGATATTCATGCTACTGTATGTGTATTGGTTGTGCTGTGATTCCTCACGTAGGAATTGTTCTTCGTTCCTGACTTTCATTGCCAAATTGATTATTTGACCGATTTTCGCATGAAGTGTTGAATATTGAATGCATTCCGCGCAGGTTTTCCGTTCATCGATGCCGCAATGCGCCAAGTGCGCCGCGAAGGCTGGATTCATCACGTGGCGCGAAACGCTTGCGCTCAATTTTTGACACGTGGTGGCTTGTGGATTAGTTGGGAAGAGGGATTGCGCCACTTTCTGTTCTACTTGTTGGACGGAGACTGGAGCGTTTGCTCTGGAAATTGGTTGTGGCTATCGTCGTCTTCGTTTGAAAAGATGCTGGATTGCTCGGAATGCTTTTCTCCGTCTATGTTCGGCCGTCGATTGGACCCAGCTGGAGATTATGTGAGGAAGTACGTGCCCGAATTGAGCGGAATGCCGACAGAGTACTTGCACGAACCGTGGTTGGCACCTTTGGAAGTTCAGAAGAAAGCTGGATGTATTTTGGGCGAGCATTACCCGAAGCCGATGATCGATTTCGTTAAAAGATCGAAGAGGAATGCGCGGGTGAGCTTCCCCTTTTTAGATTGTGATTGCTGAATTATGGTTGCATGACTGAAGTCAGAATTGAGTAGTTGTACGGTACGGGGTTTCAAAAAAGTTACTGTGCATTCTGCAGTGAAAAAGAATGCATTTTTTTAAATTTCATCAGGCGGTCGAAGTTCATGGAGTACAATATTTCAATTTTTTTAACGGAAGTTATACATTTTTATGCTCTTATTTTCAGAGGATGGCGAATTTCCGGCGACAACTGGGATGTGCAATTCCTCGTCATTGTGCTCCTTCTTCTGAAGAGGAAGCCAGGGAGTTCATGTGGTCTACTGCTGCCACGAGTGTTTTTGGACATCACTCTCATTCCGAAGTTTGCAGAGGAACTGAAGTCATGGAGTGAATTTCCATAAAATATGCTTGGTTTTTCAAAGATTCGCACAGTTACCCAGACTGGTAATTGTACGGTATCATCAGAGATAAATGCAAGTATTTTTATTCATTCCTTTTCCCCTATTCAGAAAAGTCTTGCAATTATCCCCCCCCCCCCCCCTAGAGAAATAAATTTCATCTCGAATGGTATAGTCTGTATTCAGATGTAAACTTGCTTAAAAAAAACTTGAATATGAATTACCGTAAAGACAGAGAATTTTCTTGATTGATGGTGTCCAATTCAGTCCGATGAAGAATTACATTTTTATTGTATTACGATTCTGCAGACGTTATAAATTAAATCGCTTGAATGCATTGGACATTTAAAAAGTCTTTATCAGTTCTTTCAAAGAAAATGTTCGAAAATGTGGTTTTCTTCCTTTGTTCTCTCCTTTATTTGGCGTGACACCTCGTAGAATTTGACGTCATTTGACGTTTTTTTTTGTCGTCATCCCAACTGAGACTTTGAAATCTTCGAAAGTGATTCCGCATTCAACCCTGAACTGTCTTCTTCAGCTTAATTCTTCCGCTGATGCTTCCAAATAATGTATCGTCAGTTTCAGTGCAGTTACGTCACTTTCTAAGTTAATTTTAAAATTCGAGTGCCCTGACTGCAAATCGAAACTTAAGCCATGATTGATACGGAAAATTGACCACATCGCTGGTACTCACTTCGGAAAGTTTACCGAATCATCCTAACTGCTTTTGTTCTCAGAGCAGTGAAACCTCCGCAAAATTGTAGAGCACGCAAACCCGAAGCTGCTCTTTACTTCATGTGTAAATTCCTTTGCGCGTCTGGGCATTAAAAAAATAAATCACAGGATGGGATGAAAATAATTGGTAATTTTTGATATTTTTCAATGATGGCTTTTGTCGGACTGTGCGAAACTTTGAAAGACTCTGCGTAAACATGGCGAAGACAATATCCCGAAAGACGTCTGGCACTTCTAACGGCAAACAAAAATTTTTGGTGTTTTGGTCTTCATCAAGATGTTTTTAAAGCATAAAGTAGTGTTGATTGTCGTTTCTTTTTTGGGGTTTAGCTAATTCTCGATTGACGTTCGTTCTTCCAAATGTTTTGAATGTATAGTATGTAGTCCCTGTGCAATTCTAATTTAGATTAGGTCAACCAGTTTTCTCTTATTCAATTTAGCGGTTTGGTTTCAAAATTTTCCCTTTCGCGTCTCCGTGCGCTATTTTGCCCCTTTTTGATGCTTTAAATGCTGCTGTTCGAGTATATTTGGCAGCCTCCTTCCGTTGGAGGAAATCCCGTGATTTTCCGTGCATTTCATTTCGTATGTACAGCCCATCTCAATTGTAGTCAGGGGAGGGTTGGAGGTGATTGTAAAGCATTCAGCAGAGTTTCCCATCGACTCAGACCTTGCTCAGTTATAATTCCAGTCAAGATTTAGTGACTGAAAAGTAGTAAATTGTTGAGTGTTGAAGACATTTTATCGTATATCGGTGATACTGGAGTATCCAGGATCAATTAGCTTTTTTTTCGGTGGATCAGTGTTATGTGATGGAAAGGAACATATTCACCGTTTGATTGTTGTTCACGTGAATGAGAAACACCGGTATTCCGTGACATTCCATGAAATGGATCTCAAAATTCGCGTCTCGCGAAAGAGTTTGTCATGCACCTCGTAGATGATAAAAAAAAGAAAGAAAAAAAAGTGTCAAATGTTTGAATTCAACGGAAATCTTCGTGTGATTCAGCTTCCATTCCAAACGTATTCGATGTGATTTTATGGGACTTATTTTTGCCATTCACGCTTTATTTTTGACCCCATTTTGATGGATTGGTGGACTAATGAATGTTCCAACTACTTGTCGCAGTTCTGTTGATTTTTCAATTAGAAAAATGTCATGTACTCTTCGAAATGACGTTTTCTCTGGAATTCCAGGTGAAGTAAGAAGTGCGTTATGCGATTTTTTCTTTAAGTTTTCGGGATATATATAGTCGGGCAAATTCGTTTGAGTGCGTACGAAAGTCATAATGATGAATGACGATGTTGCATTGGGATTCATCGACGATCCAGATACTCTTGCCAAGCGGAAAAAGTGAGTTTTTCGAAAAACGTCTTGATTTTTTTCTTACTCAGATGTAAAGTAATTTTTCAATTTACTTGTTAATACTAATTTTTCATAAATTTTTTGGAAGCAGCTCTACTAAATTTTGTGAAGTTTTCGCGTCCTTGGAAAAAGTTTTCCATTTTGTAATTAAACTAAGGAATTATAAATCTTCCTTATATTTTTCAGCCATCCATATGCAGTTATCTTCCACGTGCTCTTCCGCTCTGCAGCACTAGTGATCTACGTTTTGTCAGAGTTCGTATTTGGGATGAGCTTCATTACAAGTTTCGTCATTGTAGTACTACTGCTTTCTGCTGATTTTTGGACTGTCAAAAATGTGACTGGGCGACTATTAGTGGGCCTACGATGGTGGAACTATGTTGACGACGACGGCGTTTCTCATTGGCAATTCGAAACGAGGAAGGTACGTAGCCATTCTTTTTGAAAATTGGTTTTAGAACGCTGAAAATTATTTTAAGGAATCCTTTTTGTGTCCTGTAAGCTTTCGATCGAATCCATTCTTTCTTGTACAGCATACTGTAGTTGATTACGCATCGTTTTACGGAAGTTTGTGGTTGCCCCGTGAGGGATTTTTTTGTGGAGCTTTTACGATGCTTCGTTAATGCTAGAAATTCTCCAAGAAAAATTCTCGCATAAGTCAAAATTTTATTTCTGTGGAAATAAATTCTTTAAAAAAATCGAAATTACCCCTTTGAATTATTGAACAGGAAGAAAGAAAGCGTCACCATCAGAGAAAGTCGCGGTTTCTGGAAAATATTTTTATGATCCATGTGTTGAGAGAAAAGGTATACTACAGAGCTTTAAAAAAATGATACGCTGAAAATTTGTCTGCTGAAATCTCGTCAAGAAAACATCAATTCAGATCTGAATGGATTTTAAAATATCCGAAAAACCCTAATTCGACTTATGGCTTTTTTTAATTAGCGTTAAGTGACATTGTTGCCTCGTTATTTTTGCGTTCAAGTGCTTTCACGTTCTGCGATTTAGCTTTGAACCAAGTGTAAATGGGAAATATGTACATCGCTCAGGCTTCTTGAATTAGTTAGAGGTGATGGTGTTTCCGCTTGTGGGTGTCATGGGAAATTGACTCGTGAACATGTTGGCAGCGGTCTGGTTTTCAGGGTGAGAACGACCCTTACGTGAACCCGAGTGAATCCAGTGTTTTCTGGTCATCGCTGATCGCCTTCCCGGTCATGTGGGCCGTGCTGCTTGTCATTGCTTTATTCAGGATCAATTTTAAATGGATGGTGAGTCCGTTGTCGTTTTCTTTAAGGGTTTATCTTTCAGTAATAGTCCATATCGAAAAGCTCGTTATTCTCATGTCGTATAGCCGTCGAGGCTTCTGGGTATGAAAGGTCGCATTTATCTCAAATTTCGACGAACAACAATTTAACCTGATGACGGAGATGTCCTAAAAAGTTCAATTAGAAATTTCTGAAACCTGCGAGACATTTTTTGAACGTATCGTCTGTGCCTTTGTGTACTTCCGAATCTCTTTTCTAATCCTGTATTCACCTGAAAGAAAAAAATAGTCAAGATCATGAAATATCTGTACTTCGTAGAACTGCGTGTCCACCACACGAATCCATCCGAGACGAAAGAAAACAATGACTGAAAAAAACCTTGACCAATAATTCTCACGTAACCTAAAGCAAAATATATTAGAATTTTTGACGCTGGTCATTGACAGAACATAACAGAGTAGAAAGATTTTCCTTATGAAGAAAATGTAAGATGGTTCTCAAAAAGATGAAATTTATTTTTCCTACAGATGATCGTGGTGATAGCGATTATGCTCACTGGAGCAAATTTATACGGATACCTGAAATGCAAAATGGGCGGCAACGACGCAAGTGTGACGCAGAAAGTATCAAGTATGGCGAAGAATCTGCTACAGCAACAGCTGTTGCAAAATATGACGTCATTCCTCAGCGCAAATAAGCCAGCACCTACCGGCCGGACAAATAACGTGTAACGTCTGTCGAATCGCTGAAGTTCATGTCATGCACGGGAGAGAATATTTATTTTTGCGATTGTCATAGTTTCACGCGATTTCACGAGTGCTGCGTTATGATACTTTGATTTTTTTCTTTTACTTTCCCCACGGTTTACGTTCCTGTGATACAGAAGAAAAGGTGAAAAGATGTTTTGGTTGCACCGTGGAGGTTTTATTGTGGAGTTCTTGAAGCGATCGACTGGTGGGTTGGATGACATTGTCATGATGATGTGTTGGAAATTGGAGTGGTTTTACTTCAAATTGCGTTTTCCTTTGTTTCTTGATCCATTTGATATAATCCTTACCTCGCTGACTTTGATGATTGGGATCTTCTGTGCAGGTTCTTTGTTTTGTGAGTGTGCAGGCCACAAATTTTTGCATGCTGTTTGATAAAACCGAGTTGGGATGGCGCAGTTCGGTGAATGGCTGGACATCGGACGGTTTCCCTCGACCGCTGGATCTGCTGGCTTGCTTGGCATCGCTCCCGGGGAAGACAGGACATCGACCATCATCATCACGCCTACCCCCAACTGTGCCTTGATCTTTGATGTGAGTCAACTCCAAACCTTGTTTCAAAAAATTTTTTCCCCCTTTTTCATTGCTACTTTTGTGTTTATGCGAAGTGAGCACCCATTTTTCCGATTTTAGAAGCTTATCTAAATTTTGCTTATACAGGTAGACTATTTTCGCAATGAAATTCAAAAAACAAACAGAAAATTTTTTTTTAGACATAATTTTTTTATAGAGAACCCCTGTTGGGAGAAAACCCTATGGGGCCAAGAATGTTTCATAGAGAGAAAATCATAGTACACGAGATTGTTGTAGTGAGTCCATCTCTATTTGCATATTTATGCAATTCGGGTTTATTCGCGTGTATATCAGGAAATCTTCCTGCTTGCGGCCCACAAATAGATCAAGCACTTCTTGACTAATTAATTGATTTTGGAATTGAAGTTGAAAAATGACCAAGAACTTGTCAGCTTTTAGCACTTCAAAAGCATGACTGAAGGAGAATAGCAAGGGTTGTGTGACACAGTATTTCCTTTCTGAGAAAAACCTAAATTTAGTCTGAAATTTAAGGCTTCTGGAAAGTCAGAACAACAGGAAAACAAGTGAGTGCTCATACTGGCCCATTAATGGAATTTAAATTTTGTCCATGAAAAATCTAGGGTGTGAGTACTGTATGTTCTTTCAAATACGGTACTGATTAATAATATGCACCTGAGTGTCAGAAAAGCGTTGCGCGGTGAGAAATTCGTAATTATTGTGCATTTTAAAACTTTTATCCTCTACAATTACTGGTTGTTCCAGCGCAAGTAGATGTCACTCGTTCCCACAAGTGCACAATATTTAAATTTTGCAAGGTTCTGTGCGCAGTTTTTGTATGTTATAAAATCAATTGATTGTTTTTTAATAGATTTGAAAATATTTTCAATTCTCACGAAGTTTTCACTTGAAATTTTTCGAACGTAAACAGCGAAGATTTTATGAAGGCCAAGATCTACATGTAATTTGAGAGGTCGTAGTACAGTACTGCATAATTTTTGCGTCTTTTTCAGACAGTTTTTACTTTTTCAAAAGCCTCCTTGTATTCGCGTCGAAAAGGAAAACTCATGTTTCCTTTGTCCAATTTTTAGTTGCACTCCAAGACGACTAAAAAGACGTGGGAAATCCCAGGGAAGTTTGGTCGCCTCTCGTCGCAAGTCGTTTGGTCCCGGAAATCTCAACGCTATGCCGCCCTCTGCAACAAAGGCGACTCTCTGCTCATCTGGCCCGAAGACGCAGATTCGTTGGAGAAGAAGGGCAAGAACATTCCGCTTTCTCGTCGGGCCTGGCGTCTTGTGCGCTGCTTGAAGTGTTCAGACGCGGAATCCTGGGTCGTCTACCAGAACGGCGGAACAGTTCGCGTCAACGAAGTAGTATCACGTGGCAGTGGCGGTGGTGATGTCGGTGGCGCCAGTAATCCAGGTTCAGATTCGGCATTGCTCGATTCTGGCGAAACGATCGAAGACGCCGCGATTTTTTGCAACGGGAACCGACACGAATTGGCGGTGCTGGCTGTGGCGAAGAAATCGGGCGGGACTCTGTCTTACGCTGTGAGAACTATTGTTCGGGGTTTGGAGTCTGGGGAGCCGATGGTGAAGCGGTTTTGCCGCCTTTTCGAAGACCGAGTCGTGGCGGCGGAAACCGTTGGAGGGCATGTGGGGGACGAGGAAGGGTCGGATGAGGGGTTTATTGATTCGACGGACACGAGAATGACTGACGACAGTAACGGGTCCGAACGGATTGCGGTTGATGCGTTGGGCGGCGGAGATGCGACACCCGGGGCACTTCTCGCATCAGCTTTTTGCACGGAGGGATTTGTTCCTTTCCTATACACAGTCTGTGAGTAACAACCTGAATAAAAATGAAATAATAGGCAATGTAATTTGGTAGGGTTTTTTTTTCGACGTGGTAATGCGCGAGATTTCCTTAGCTCAGAGGTATACTTCTTTTTCAAGGAGCGGTGCATCGGTATGAAAAATTGGTGGGAGATGTTTCCTTCGCTCGAAGATATAGTTGCAGTGAGAAGTCAAAATTCGGAAACAATTAGTTTGTGAAGAACTCAAAACCCTCAAAAAGTGGGAACCTGAAATTCATTACAGTATTTAGTATTTCGTGTAAAAATTTTGAAGTACATGATTAACCTGTACTTCGAAATCACGAATCCAGAAAGATGAACTGCATTGATAACCGCGTTTAAACCCTCCCCCCGTCTTCCACGTTACAGACTGCAAGACGGATTTGGTGATAAGAAGAACCATCGAAGTTTTCGGCATTCTTTGTAATGTGATGAACATTTTTTTTTTCAGGGCAAGATAATCAGCTGAGACGTTTGGCATTGCCAACGGAGGAGACGGATGCGTGGGTGGGCGAAGGAAAGGTTGCATCGATGGAGGTTTTATTCAAATTTCCAAAAGCGAATTTCGGGGTAGAGCCGAAATTTCGGCCGTCTATTTGTGCTGTCGACAGGGAGAGGATCGTCGTGCACTCTGTTGACTCCAACCGTGAAAGTGAGTCGGCTAAATAATCAAAGCTCAAATTATATATATTTTTTTCAGTTGAGATTTCGTTGTTCAAATTTCTTGTAAATACAGTTGCTCTGCTTCCTGGAATGTCTGGCTGGTGTCAAAACCTAGGGAGAAACAGTCTATCCAGTCCAGACCTACCCTAGCCCATTTTTACTTTTAAAAAGCTGCTGTGATGATTCCTAGCCTAAAATCATGGATTCTGAGTGGAATCAAATCCGAGAAAATTTAGATGACACTAATGTGATCGAGAAAAAGTGCAAGAACGTTTAAATTGAAATAGAAAATTACCGGGAAAAGATATTGATTTTGAGGAAAGCGTTTTCAGGTTGGTTTGTCAAATTTTCCAGATGGTTGCTTCGGGCTGTGGAATGTGCGCTGGGGAGGAATGTGTGAGAGCATAGTGACGACGAAGATGTTTCATCCTTTGCCGGAAACGTGTCGAACGACAGGAAGTTGGCGTGTGGGGGCTTACTTTGTTTCAGTGGACGCATTTTCTGCGATCAAGATTTTCCAAGTGAAGCTCTTGAGACCATCAACTTTGGCCTCCACTATGGGGCTTGCGCTTGCACCCGTGGCCAATTCTAAGTTTTGGAAATCGTCGTCTTTCTCGATCCCGTTTTCTGGGGAACTGAAGCCGGTGACAGAGTATGATTGGACGGAAGATGAACAGCCCAAGATGAGCATGAATCATTACGAGCTTGCCGAGTAAGTCCTTCATTTAAAAATTTTATTTGCCCCCAACTTATTTACCGTACAGTATTTACTTCAGTACCACGCGAGTGAGACGTGCCCCATAGATTTGTTGCCAAGAATTTCGAAAAATTGTTATCCTCGCGGAAGATGCCCACCTTCGTTTTTAGTTAGCAAATTTCCTATGTGAAAAGCTGTGTTTGGTGAAAATATCCATTGAAGCTCTCTTAAAAATCGAATCCAACAGTGATAATTGTGTTACCTACAAATATAATACTGTAATATTAAATTATAGGGAATTGAAAACTTGAAGTCCAGCGACAATTTTCCAATCCAAAAAAATGTAAATAAAAAATTTGAACCGGACTTTTACGTGCACCTCGTTTTTTGCTGCAATTTTTTTAAAGGTGCGCGTGGTACTCGGATAACTTTTCAGGGCGAAAATCGAAATTAAAGTCGTGTATGAGATGGATTTGAGAGTTACTGGAATAAATTGCAGGATTATTAGAAAAAACTCGAATCACATCATATATTGATTTAGGGACATGTCAGTGCTGTGTATCAACTAATTTAATTGTGTGAATGTATTTTCTATGTCCATTGTATTTTCAGTCGAACAGTAATTGAAGGCTCGGCGTCGAAGCCATTTAATAATCAAACCAATTACTGTACAATACACTTTACATGCAAACATTGAAGTCTTGCTTGAGGGATAATTAGAAGAAAATCTTTGGATTCTGAGTTCTGACTGAATTTGAAGGCTTTTTGAAAATTTTTTCTTTTCACTACCGCCTGTCCTTTCTTTCAGCACTGTTGAACATGAATCGCATGAGTCAATAATCTAACAGAAAATATTGTAATTCAACAAAACCCGAAGTAGCCTCACTTAATTTGACCTAATACGAAGTCATATTATGTAAACTAACCTTCCAAACGTTAATTAGTCTTTTCATCTTCTTTATGTTAGACGACAGTCAAATTTTGCCATGTTCAGGATGGCAAAATTTGACGCGCTGATTTTGAAATGAAAATCAAAAGAATTCTTGAAGTATTGAATGAGATTAGCAGGTAATAGTCGGGTTAGAAATGAGACAATGTCTTGCAGGGTATTTCTTGGATAAAACAGAAGGAATAATGCCGTTTCTTCAAATTTTCCAGATCAGTTGGTGAGAAGACTGTTGCCGCTTACCTGCGCGAAGGCCGCGTGTCAGAACTGGTGGACTGTTTCAGCAGCGATCAGCTTTTCGTACGCGACTCACTCCTCATCTCAGCAGTCAACTTCGCAATCGGGCAAAAAACCAGCTTTGTCAATTCCTCAAAAAACCGCGGCGCAAACGACGTGTCACTTCCCAAGGACCGTATCGACACCCTGCGGTTGCAATTGTTGGCCCACCTCGTGCGACAACCCGTAACCGGCAAAATCCTTACCCGAAAATTGAATGCGTTCCCGGATGAGAAGAAGTTCAAGCTGCTTAGCGACTTATTGACCTTGGTGGAGAGACAAGGCACGTTGTGGGACGTGGCAACACCGGGTTCCACATTGGCGCTTATTTTTGACTGGATCAAGGCTGGCTTAGACGTGGCGTTTCCTTCGAGTGCCATGAGGGGACAGAAGGCTGCTCACGATTACGAGGAACTGTGGGAGATGTTTAATAGAATCAAGCAACGATACGTGAGTAATCTTTCCGCATCCCTGATCTCATTCGCGGTGGGTTTTTCAAGCGTCAATGGTTGCTGAAGATGTTACCCCTGAGTCTCAAGCTTGGGTGAACAGATTTTTTTTTAACGAAGAAATATTTTGGAATACAGTACCAGCAGAACAGAGCATTCGCCTCGACTGAACAGAAGGATTGATTGTGAAATCTTCCCCAATTAAAATCATAGAAATTGGGCAACACTTTCCGCCTGATGAAATTGAAACCGACAATCATCGGAAGATTGAACTTCTTCACGCTCTTCTGGGTTTTTGTTGTTGTTGCTTTTAACATGTCGCGTGGTGTTCACGAAAAGCTGCAAGTACGACGGGTGGTTCAGAATGTTTTATGTACAATTTTCTTTGCGCGTGAGAAACCTCCTTTCTTTTGCTAGAATAATTTACCCCAACAATGAAATGTTTACAACAAATTTATTAATGAGCTACCCTTACATGAAAAACGTCTTGTTCAACTTGTTCCAGGCAATTTTTACATTCATTGTCTGAAAATTACCATCTAGAAGTCAATTTTCATTGGACTGTGTCTAGGTTTCCAGATGTGCGACGTGATGATCAATTTTCAAATTTGAAATATCAAGTAAAATTTAGACAAACAGAAAGTTTAAAGAAAATGCATGTTGAGGGTGTTGTTCTTTTTTACATCCTTTATTTCAATTCTGTCCACCCTGGGAAAACAATAAATTAATAGTCAAGCGAGGATCAGACTAAGGTTCGTGTGAATTTCTCTCTTTATACATTCATCTAACAAGACCAGCGAAGGCAGCAAGAGATTAATGGAACGTGGGGAAACAATTTTTGTACTTGAGTGAAATTTTTCGGAAGATAAACGCAGGGATCGTCCGTGTTGTTACGTCACGGTCAATGGTGAACTTCGTCTTCGGCACGACTATTGACATTTTCCAAAAAACCGCCGAATCGCGTAAGGCAATGATTTATAAACTTTTCCTTCAAATTTCAGTCGGAACCGTTGGCAGAAATACGGCTGTGGGATGGTCCGATTGCCGAAGTTCGTCGACGCGCTGCAGAAGCTAAACTGACGAATATTGCGGCAGCAAATTTGAGCATAGATCCGTCTGAAGTGGCGAAGAAATCCGGAATCGATGCTATCCGGGACAGTTTGGCTCATCGGCCCGGGGAACAGTCGAAAAAGTTGTACCGTGTACGAGTCATCGCGAACTTTTGGTGACGACTTTGTTACATGTTTTGTCCGGGCCTCTCGTTTTTCTGTTGAAATAAAGGCTTCGACTGCCTCCGGAAAAAAAAAATACCACCGTCTCGTATTCTTCTCAACTCGCATGGGTTTTTTCAACTTTTGCGTGATTTCTGGGAGATTTCGCTCGGAAAATGTCTCATTGAACCATCCCAAGTGCTCGGTGATGTTAATGTTAGAGTTCATGAAAATTTTGAAGAAACAGTTCTTGTCTTCATTTCAAACAGGGTAGAGCTCAAAATGAAAGCGATGGTGGCTCCGATTCGGAACCCTCCGGACTCCTGAGATTTTTCCATTGGGAGGATTGACAACATTCTCAGGAAAAAGAAACAATTCCTTGCAAGAATATACGTTTATTTTTCGAACGCTAGCTTTTATCTTGTGAGAAACTCAGGATTCCGAAGGTTTCAAATCACGCTTACGGAACACTCGCTGTTTGAGCTCAATCCTCATGAAAGGGAGTGCAAGAAATATTCTGAAGAGAAAATTCAAGGATCTGACGAAGATATCATTGTGCACAGATCATCAAATCGCTGGATAGGTCTCGTGCTCCCACGTATACGTCATGTATTTTTTTTCCAGTGATTGATTTTGAGTTGAAAACTGTGAGAAAAGTGAATCAGTGACGATGATGTGGCCACTTGTTGAGGTACTCCTCTAGTATTTTGCGTTCTGATGCGAGGCGTTCGAGTTGTTCCTCCACGCTGAGACTGGGGTCCAGTTCTTCCTTGAAAAGGTTAGTCAAGTGTACTTGAGGAGGTATTTTGGCGGGTGCGGAGGAATGCGCATGACGGGATTTTTTGCGGAACTTGGGTTGCCGAGATTTTTTCAACGAGCGGAGGTTTTTCTTGAGGGTTTCTATGCTCAGCCTGATCTCCTCCAGAGTTCGGGTCACGTTTTGATCGGAATCTGGTTTCGATTTTTGCCCTGTGCGTTGGAAACAATTTTGCAGTGCAGTTGAACTACGGTAACTCGGGAGTCAAATACCTCCTTATTTCGATTTCCGTCTGGATTTCCTTTCAAACAGTGTAATATAAACCTCCGTAACTCAAATGCTTTCCCCCTCGAACCAACTCGAATTTTCTATAGGCAATTTGGCTAATATTCTTTGACCCAGGAAAAAAGAAATAAAAATTCAACTTGATGCTCTTTGAAATTTTGTGAAACAATTACTGAGAAAATAAACCCGTGCTTTCTAGTTCAGCATGTCAAATTCTTTATTGGGCAGTTTTTCGGGCCAAGAAAGATCAATAATTTTGAAGTCCTTCAATTATTTTTCCCCTGTAGGTAAAAATTATTCGTTTCGCTTACTCGAAAACCTCCCAAAGTGAAATTTTGTTGTTGGTCCCATGGAATTCAACTGTAGTTTATTTTTACCCACAATTCTTCAAATGACTTGAATAGTCATCTACACATGATTCCTCCGTATCAATGAGGCCTTTTTCTCATCAACTTTCATATTTGGTTGAGGGCAGGGCACGATTACTTACTTCAAACTTACTTTGTACCCCCTGAAGTATTTTAAATTTCTGGACTGTTCATTACAAGTACTGCACTTGATTTCTTAGCGATTGAAACAAGGTAATGCCATGTCCCAAAGGAGCAAGCACAGATGAGCAAGTGCACAAAAGAGCGGGTGACAAACCAGCGATGTATCGAAAAAAAACGATCAATTGCATGCTAGAGCCAGTAAATGTTAAAGCAGGATTTTTAAACTTGTGATCAGCGTACTGATGGTGGTACTTGGGCACCTGTTGATCTTTCTTGGCCGGAAAAACTGCCTGGCTAAGAATTCGACATGATGCTGAACTAGAAAGCAAAGGTTTATTTGCTCAATAATTGTTTCACTCAATTTTAAAGAGCATCAAGTTGCATTTTTGTTTCTTTTTTTCTTTTCTGTGTCTAAGAATAATAGCCTGTAGAAAATTCGAGTTGGTTCGAGGGGGAAAGCATTTGGAATCATGGGTATTGCAAACTATATTTTTTTTTCGTGCAGTAGTAGTCTTTTTAATGACTTTCAAACTGTTGAAAATGAATTTAATAATTTTCAGAGAATTGAAAATGAATGCATGATCAAATCGTTGGAATTTGATCTTGAAAACAAATATTTCAAATACCGCGTTTGATGACGGAAAGTATTGCGTCTTGGTTCCTAGTTGAACTGGCTTCCAAGTCGATCACAGCAGTTCGCAAAGCCTCCGTGAAAGTAGTTTCTAGATTCGTTCTTGATTTCATGAAATCATCTTTCAGTCTGTGATGAGCTTGAACGATGTGAGCGCAGGACGAAGCGATTGCTTCTACTTTTTCCTCCAGTCGATCGAGGCTCTGACGATCTTGACTTCTTCCTCTGTTGAGCGATTCCTGAGCCCGGCTGAAATCTTGACCGAAATCATTCATCTTTTCCGTGATTTCTGTCGCGAAATTTGAGCGAAGTTTTCTGAGGAATCCCATTTGCTCGTCGTGTTTTGAATCCAGGTCGTGGCGAAAGTTGGCGAGTCGTTGGTCGAGTGACTCTGATACGGTTTGTGGGAGACTCAACAAGTGTTGGTCGAGTTTTGATTGGATTTCGGCGAGATGTCGTCTCGTGTCCCGTTCATTCATCATCTCGGTTTGTAGTTTAATTTGAGTGTGACGCATCTCGTCTCTTTCAGCCTGAAGCTGCTTGTTGATGGACTGAGTCTCTCGGAAATGGGCGTAAAGTTCTCGAAGATTCTCTACAGTTTTTTCGTGTTTTTGCTGAAATAAGAATCGCATAAGTGGGAAATGAAAAAAGCGCATTTCGTTCGATTTTTACCGACAGGAACATTACAACGGATCTTTTACAAAAGTTCAAGTCTTTTTCGTGTCTTGGTTTTCAATCAAAATTTTGTACATTTTTTATGGATAATTAAATTAAATTCTCATAAAATACCGATCATCTCTTCCATCACTGAACGTGAATTGAATTGGAGGGATTTGAATTGATTACAGAAAAGTGATGATTCGAAGCGCGAAATTTGGGAAAGCATCTGGCAACTTTTTGAGCGGAATTTTTTGTTTGGGAATCAAAGAATTGCAGTACATTACTTGCAAAAATTGATCTCATTCTATCTCCGGAAATGGAGGAAAATATTTCCTATCGAGCATTTAAGCGAATAATGAGACATGCTTTTTCAAAATTTCCTACAGAAGACGAAGATGAGGTATGATCCAAACCTTGATCCTTGATAACATATTTGCATAAACAAAATGCGGAGTGGACCAAAAATTTTGATTTTTTATGAGCTATCGCGTATAAAATTCAAATTTAATGCAAGACTGTTGATTGATGTCATAATTCATGGACTTAAACATTTAAGGTAAAAACTGCTGTAAATGATTTGACCAGGACAAACATAAAAAAAAGACCCCGAAAAAAAAAATTAATGGAGGGATTTGTACGAGGGTTGTCCTAGAAACGCGCGGCTTTGAACGCCTCACCAGTATTTGTCAGTCAGTCAGCTGGACATTTGTTTATTCAGTATCATATTATGTCTGTTTATTTATAGTATTTCACAATGCAAAAACTAGCGTAAATGTGCTATACTTACTTGTAAAGACTCGAGACTCGTCAGCGTCGCTCTCGCTTGTCTTTCCCATCTCCTCGAGTCATCTCGAGCAATTTCAAGCAAATGTTGATTTTCGTCATCAGCATGCGTGACGCGTGTTTGTTTTGTAAACGAAGTAATAGTTTCTGTGGGATTTTCGGCTGTTTGGTCTGGAATGATCAATTGTTCGAAAGACATTTCGCTGGCAGTGTCACTGTCGCTACCGACGCCGACATCCGTGCGGGCTTTTCTGGTGTACATGACGTTGACTTCCGTTTGCGCGATCGAGTCCATTTTCGATGTTTCTGTTGCCTTTGTTATTGGCTTTTATGAAACGGACGAAAAATTTGAAATTTACCCAGCAAAATCAAATTGAATTTCTTTCGAGAAAAAGGGGATTCTCAGAAGTCTTGGCGAGTCGCTCACCGACTTAGTTTGTAGTCTTGTGAAACACGACTGAAGTATTTATTCTAATGATGAAAAGGCACAATTGTTGATTGTTTAAATCGGCTAAAAATGGCGCGGTTTATCGATTTCGGTAAATGGACCTGGAAACTTCCGATGCATGTTGAAAAATTTATTCATGACGTCCTACTGCTTCGATTTGTGTGAAAATTACATTTTCTTGGTCATATGAAGGATCGCATTAACCGAGTGATTTTTCTATTGTACCACCGAACAAGACTTGCAAAGGAAAAATTTAAAGTGAGTTGAAGTACAGAAAAATGACGATTCGAAGAACGAAATTAGGGAAGCATCTGGCAAATTTTGGGGCAGATTTTCTCGATTGTTGAGTCATAAAATTAATTACATGCAAAATTGATCTTATTTTATTTTCGATGATCATCTATGTTCATTGGCGTCACAGATTTTGATTTTGACCAGCGCTATCTTCAGAATAAAACATAGTCAAAACTTCCAAGAGACAATTCGTCGTGCTATTTTTTATTTTCAGTTTTATGGCAAAAATAGTTGGAATCCTTCTTTCACAAAAACTGACTTGGAAATACTAAATTCGTCTTATACTGTATATACAGTATATAATGCCTGGAAATTGCACGGGTGTTTCTGACCAATACAGTATTTTGAATACAAATCATCGAGTCTAAACTCCAATAAGGAAAATCCCCGATTGATCTGAAGTTTCTGGGGTAAAATATTGAACCACGAGATGATTTCGACATTAACGTAATTATATAAAAAATAATTTTATATGATATATAATTATTGGTAATTAGTGCCATTAATGGTAATGAAAACCTCATCATTAGATGACACTTGAAGCATTTCTGAACGCATTGAATTTTAATCCAACAGGAGGATTTATTGGCGTACACATTTTTGATACTTCGCGCCTTGGTTTCGTTTTTCTAAATTGTAAATTATTTTTTGCTGACTCACTAGACTTCTCAGGAAGCCCTCTAAAGGACGATATTCAATTTTGCATTACTTCATTGTGTGTCGGTGTGGCTGGGAAGTCTTTTAAAGAATCATTCGTCGTGGATTTCTCGGTTTCGGTGCTTTCGGAATCCATCCCTTGATCAGTTGTAATTGCTGGTTCACTGGATGCCACACTAACTGCTTGGGTTCTTTTTCTGCAAAAAACATTTTTTAGACAGGCTCTCAGACGCCTGAAAACTCGGAGTTCTTGGCCTTCGGTTTCAACCAACTCCCCGAGAAAATTTCCAGCTCAAATTCTAGGTTGGGTTTGTGAAGAATTTTTTAAGCAGTACAAAAATTTATATTCTCCGTGTGCTTCGAAGCTTGTATAGAATGCATGGAAAATGTGTGCAGATTGTTGAAGGAGTCGGGGAAAATTAAAGTAATCGTTTCACACTACTTGAATATATTTCAACCGAAAATCCAATGAATCCTCGTTTCGTTGATCATTTAAAAAGTATTTTTGCACATACAAAGAGAAACCCAGAAGCATATGAAACTCTGAATTATTTAAAGCACTCCAATTAATAATTATGTAACTGGCAGCGACATTTGACCGCACTGAAAGAAAATGTCACTGCTGAGAACGAAGAAAGCAAATTAAATGAGAACATTATAATTTCACCACTGCTCAAAAATCCCTTAGACACCGTAAAATTTTAAAAATCTTAACTTGCTTCCAAACTCGGCACATTTTTACGTAAGTTTTCGGTACAGCATTATTTTCCAGCATTTACCGCAATTTTCCCACACTCGTGTTTCCGAGCTGGCGAATGGATGAATTCGAATCCACGTTAAAATTTTAAAATTAATTTCAGTTGGTGCGTTGAATATTCGATATTGCAAACAACAAAAAATCCAACTTGAGTTTTGGAATGTCGAGGATCCCTTGCAGATTTTTAGCGATCTCCTCTCGTCCCTGTTGCATATTTGGCTTTTCCAAGGCCGAAGACAGCACATTTCTCAACGCGGTCAGCCGTTCGGGATCCATGCTCATTAAACTGAATGACCCAGCAGTGTTTAACCGAGGTCGCGATTCGAACCGTTTGGTGATTTCATTCATCACCTGGATTTCACTCAGTTCGCCTCTGACCTCAAAATCATCTTTGTGACAAAATAATAGTTCAACAGAATTCATGATGAGCTTCTTAAATGTGGACTATCATGAACCTTTCACGTCATTGGTAATGCTCGAAGGAGGAGCCTTTTCTGGGAATATAAAGTTCTTGAAGAGACTCCTGAAGGACTGCACACGTTTCGGTTTCTGCAAGATTTCGGATTTTGTATCCATGATTGGCAAATTTCAAGGGCTAAAACTTGTCAAGGTCGGTTACCTTCAGCAGTGCAGTGCTCCCCATGAAAAGAACATGTGAACAGGATCTTCATAAGCGAGATACGAGTAATCATACTTTGTCATCAACAACGACAAAAAAAAAACACAGACAAACATTCATTGTTTGATGCTTCCTATGACATTACAAGAACGAGTCATTAAAATATCCGTCTAACTGAAGCCAGCGTTTGCAACAGAAGAAAAAGGGATATCAAAACCAGAAAGCATTCGGATCATGTCATTCGCGTGTTGTTTTTTCTTTCCTTCAATATTTGTCAGGTTCACAAAAATGTCCACAGCGTGTTTATAATAATTTCAATATTCGAAGAAATGTTTTTGCAAAAATGAACAAGTATTCCCAATAAGTTCATATGTTCTCATGTCAGTCCATGTAACCAACTTCTTGGAAATGTTAAACAGAAGAAAATATTTCCATTTCGCGCTTCAAATCTGAAAGAAGAAAAAAAGCACTGATTCGACATTGCAATTATTATTTTTTCAATAATTTTCCTAGATTTGTTCGCCAAAATGAACCAATGAAAAATATTCAGCCAAAACATCACGTAATTGTTTTTCAACTTCAACGACGCAAGCATTCAATTTACCTTGCTTATAGCATCCCATACTGTCCTTGATTAAAATTTTGCATGAAGTGCAGAGCTTGCCTAACACCACAAATGAAACCCAACCATTGTCAACTGATGAAAATGGGGATTTGGCACTGTAAAAATACTTGTGACCCTGCTCAAGTTGGAGAAAAAAGATTTTACATCAGCATATAATACTGTAACTTCTCAAGTATGCTGTATCACTAGTACAGTACTGCAGCCCTATAATAAATTATGTACAGGAACAGTATTACAAGACATATCTAGATTGATGCCACCACATGGAATGTTAACGCGCCAAAATCTGTCACCAAAGACCAGTCAAATCAATTTGATCATACAGTGCTTTGAAACTCCAGTTGAACCTCCCTCCATAAGTCAAACACTTTACATACCTGCATCAAATTTCTTCTCAAGTCCCTGTCCAGATTCAGTTAGAAACAAAGCATTAAAAACTTCCCCCACCTCCAAAGCTCTCCTCCATCCCCCAAGAAACCTCCATAACTCAAATCCTGAAGACCTTTCACACATAATTTAAACAGGAATGAAAAATAAAATATAGGATTGCCACTTGATGTGGTTTGAAAGGAAGTGTAACACTAATAGGATAAATTAACCCTGTTCTCCATGCAATGTCAGCATGCACACTGTCCACTCATTCAAGAATAATTTAAAGCCCACCTTGTCATCAATTACAAATTCCTGTAGTTTTTCTGTCATATGTCCCCACCAAAAATGCCTATTTTCTTACCTGAAAACTGCCTTAACAATAATATTTTTCTCTTGTCCCTTGAAGTTTGACACTGAAAGAGGTTTGACTGTACTGTACTGTATTTTATTTTTTGACCAAATTCAAAAGCCACACATGCATGGCCCATGTTTCAAAGCATATGTATGAGAAAAAATTGTGATATTCAAAATGGAGAGATTTTGATAATACACAGTACAAGCTGTGCACAAACATGTGACCAACAGCACATATACTGTATCTACTATTACCAAAACCATAGACAATTGAAATTCTTGAACACTGCAGCATACTGTATTCCACAATCAATAGGGAATTGCTGGAAATAACTGACACTATATTGATTGACAATTGAAAACTTCAGGATCATGCGTTGGAAAGGGAAGAAAAAAAAAAGGAGAGCACTTTTTGGTTGTGCATCACCCATCAAAACCGGCCCAGGTAACAACTTGACCACCTTTGGTCTGACCCCCCTGAACTTCAGTGGATAAAACCTTGAGTTTCATTTGGGCTTCTTCCACCAGCTCTTTGATTTGAGCCACAGAGTGGTCCCCAAAGCCAGCTTTCCGGATTGCATCTTTCCTGTTGGTGATCCTTTGGTTCAAAGCAGCAAGGATCTCATTGGCACGTTGCTCCTTTAACCGACAAGCTCGGAGTTCAGAGCTCAGTTCTTCTTTTGCTGCCAGCAATGCCATCTGTGATCCCATGCCCTCCAGGTTGTCCTGAAGCAGTTTCATTGTCACCTTGCATAAAATAGTTGTGGGGAAATACAAGGGATTTACATGTTCATGCTTCCCCACTAACTTCTCTTCTTGAGCTTCCCATCAGATTGGACCTTTTCCTCCTCCTTATTCCCAAATTACTATAAGATTATCTTCATTTTTAATGTGATGAGGTTTGAGGGCATGCATGTAACTCCTTGTACAGCAGTAAAACCTCCATAAGTCAAATTTCACAGGACCCTGACATAAATTTGAGCAAGGAGGTTTTGAGTGACAGAAACACGCATTTTTGTTGGTATATATTGCAGAAAAAAATGAAGAATCCCAAGAAAAGGTTACTTGGAGGAAAGGTTTCATTTGACCAATTACTGCAGCCTTTCACTTTCTTTTGAAAAGCAACAAGTTACATTTGCATTGCTTGTTTTTCCTGTGCCAATAATGTAAAAGCCAAAAGGACGCCCAGAAAATTTGAGTTATGGAGGTTTCAGGGGAAAATATTTTGAGATTAATTGGGAGGTCTTTGAAGCAGTATTTTTATAATGGAACTCAGACAGGAACTTTAAAAAAAAAGCAACACAGGGAGGTACTTTATTTGACTGAGAGGTTTGCAATAAGATATCAAGGTCCTCTGTATTAAAACCTACAAAAACATCAAGCACTTGTTTCTGCCTATCTCTTCAAGTATAAGCAGGAATCATAACAAATTTTGTATATAGCAATACTTTTGGGGATTTGGACACAACCCAACTTTTAGACAAGGAACAATTATATAACACTCCATGCTGATGTTCAATTAAGCTTCCAAAGTTACATCAGTAATGTACTGTACTTGGGTTTTCCCCCATCCAGAAGACACCTTATTTCAAAAGTGGAAATTTTGGCACAAAAAGAAAATTTGATTCTCACTCCTATATTTGAACAAGACATTGATAGCCAAGGATTGAAAACAACACAAGTAACCACAATCAGTTTCTAAAAAAAAAAAGGCTCATTACCTGGAAAGTAGCACATAGGCGGGACCTGAAAGCTGCATCTCTCCGAACCCGATTCTTTTCTGTCACCAAAGCAGCCAAAAACCCTGTGGTTTTTGCACCAGCAGCTCCGGTTGTCATCAAGAGCCTGTGGTCCCAGAAAAGCTGCTGCTTCAACGCCGCAATTTCTGCCCTCACTTTGGCCATTTTTTGTGATTGTTCTTCTTTAACATGCATCACCTGGAAGATGGAAATATGATCAGATCAGCACAAAAAATGGCATTGAAGGAAACCAACGACTGACAAAAACCAAGGGTACAGTTGAAATTTGATAATTTGAATCTCTATACAGATCAAATACCTCCCCATGTCAAATTTTTCCAAAAACCCTTCTGCAGTCTGAATCCCCCCATCATGGAAACAAGTCAATAAATACATCCCAAACTCAAAGGCTTTCCCTCTCAAACCTGCATGACTCAAATTTTCTGGAGGCCTTAAAGCTACTATTTTATGGACACAGAACAAGAAAAGCAATGAAAATTCAACTTGATGCTTATGGTAACAAAGTGGGCAAATAAACCATTGCCTTCAAGTTCAGCATCCTTTCCTATCAATCAAAGTGGAATTTAAGGCTCAGAACATGAATGAATGAATGAATGAATGAATGAATGAATGAACAAAAAACTTTATTTGCCGCTTTTCAGCATTCAAAAGGTTCAATCCACCCAACCCAAATCTATCCAAAGGCATTCAATCACTTCAGAATGGGAACCAGAGAAAATACCTGCATATGGATAACAAAAAAAAAAGAAGATACATTCCACAAAATACAACTGCACAACTGATGTGTATGCATACACCCCTTCTTTCCCTGACATTGAAAACAAAATGTCAGTAACAAGAATTGCATCATAAGCCAGAATTGAAAAACAATTTAGAGAGAATTTTTGATGAGAAATCATATAAGGCCAAAAATGTATCTTGATCCTTTAAGATTTCAGAAAGTGTCTCTTCATTGAATTTCTTCAGAACATGAAAAATAACAATTTCCAGTAATTTTTGTCTATCTCCCCAACAAAAATGCTTGTTATACTGTAACTCCAACCCTCCCTAACTAGAATTTTATCTTCTGGGTCTCTTTTCAACTTCCACTTGAAAAAGATTTGCTCAGTTTCAAATCAAGCCAAAATGACAATGCCTTTGTTCTGAATATTGCTAATATACAAAGAAATAAATCCTGGGCAACAAAGTATGTTGGCAGCTGTCTACAAACACCCACATATCTGAAGCAACAGTAAAAGTAACCATGATGAAACTTGGGGGAAAGTCATTACAATTTGTTTCTCTTGCAGACATCACAAAAGACGCACAGAAAGCTCACCGATTTGATGGCAGCTTGATTTGCCCTCACATGGTCGCATAGGATGCCAATGCCCAAAACCAGGGAACCCCCAGCAATGGCTCCCACACACATGGCACTGATCACATCAACCAGATCCCACAGGAAATTCAGGAAGAAGCTGGTTCTTGTTGAAGTTACCACTGGGATTTCCACAACAGCCTTGTTGAAAGGAATTTGTTGCATTGTATCCTTCACAGCAGCAGCCATATCACTTAAAGACCTGGTTACTACGATGATACGCAGAATAATAATTTTCTCTCACAGAATATTAATCAAATTGGCAGATTTGACTCCTGCAAGAGATCGCAAAGAATCTTGCAGTTTTCTTCCACACATTGCAATCATAAGGCAATCTCTCATGAAATAGCAGTGTTGAACAAACTCATTTTTGATCCAGTGGTAATCAATTTTGAAAGAACTAGAAAAGGTACTCAGTTTTGGAGTTCAAATTCTTATTTCTTGTTTCAAACAGCAAAGATTTTGCATCTTTGAAAAGTGTATGAAACCCCTCTCCAAAATACAGAGCATCCCTTAAAAGTGTATGAGACCCCTTTGAAAGTTACT